ATGCCGGTTTCAACTTTCGCGCTGACCCGCCCATTCTCGCCGGCATCAAGTAACCGAATGTTATTTTTCGACGGTTGCTTTTATATATGCACGGAAAAATGCATTGAGCTACCTAAGTAAGTATGTTCATGTCGTGTGTATCATACGGTGCCCATCCAGAACGGATACCAAACCTGCAGTGCTCCTGGTTCTGGGCTCTGGAGACTCTTGAGTCTTGAGTGTCATCGGCCGAAACCCATATCGACGAAAGTACCCAAGCAGCTTGGTTACTTTTTCAGATATGAGCACCGATCTAGATCCTGAAGGTTTTGGTCCGAGGATGCCATTGCGGCTCGTGTGCAGTTTGTGAAAAGAAGAAAAAATTGCACCGAGCTGACAGCTCATATGTACATGAGTTTGTACCCTGTGTATGTACACGAGTAACCAACTAACTACCGGTATGTAGAGTACATACACGCCTCCTCTGTAGTGTAGTGTACATCATCTGCCGCAGGCGCAGAGAGAGCACTGCGGGCAGAATCACCATTCCAGCTGTCTTTCAAATTCATCATCCCGAACGCCGGCCTGTGGAGACGGATACTCATACGGTAGGCAGGTGGTGGCCGATTGCCGATCCCAGTCGACACTGTACACTGGAGAGCACAGCCAACGTTTTGCATTGCTGGCGCTGCTGACAAGTGAGACACAGTACCAGTCTGACCAGGACGTGGGGTGGCATTGTGCCAGAATAGCCCCCAACTACTACCTACCATATCCGCCGTAGTTGGTATGTAATGCGCGCCGCCGCCGCCGTGTGCATAAATTGCGTAGAGTGAGTCGATTTCCATGCCTTTTCCTTTGGCCGACGTCGTGCTAGAGCCTTGTAGAAACGGTACTACCATCACGGGGCTGGACTCTCGAACCGCAATGGGCTCCCACTGTGCCGCGGCTGGAAGCGCAGCGGATGCATCGCAACCACAGCAAATGCGGGGTCGAGCATGTGACCGACACTGCACGATGCGTACACCTTACATAAAGCACATGCTTACATAGGGTCTTACATTCCGTCCGACCTTCAACGGAGCACGTCATCGAATCTGACACACCCGCGGGGATCTGTAAGGCCCTATGTAGGCAGCAACAGCTACAATGTATCTATTATCATCCCGGACTCCTCCGGTGCCAGGTGGATATTTTGGGTCCACCGAGCTGCATCCTTCTACTGTTTCACCGTTTCACCTTGTGGACAGTGCAGTGGAGCCTGCATCCCACAGTCTCGGATCACTCAGCTGCGAGTAAGTCGGCTACGGTGTCCGAGGCTACATAGCTGACTACTGATGGAAGGCTGAAGCATTGGCAGGCGGCCTGACTTGACTCGTCATTCATGTGCCACCGTGAAGTGTCAGAAGCTCAGAGCACTTTAGGCAACCAGAAGGCTGACGAGCTGCGAACGTTTTGTTGCGCGGCTTGTGCTACATACGGGCCTAATTACGTCTCCGGACGAACCACCAGTGACTACGGCACTCGCTTACCGGGGGAGGGACTGCGCGCATATCCCGCCGAGATCGGCAAGTACCGGCGAACCCCGGAGGTGGGGGGAGCGGGAGGAGAGGATCTACGGACTGCATGCCATTGTCATCGGTAGGCAAACCGGTAGGGTTGCGCACACATTCCCCCTCTCCTTCTCAGCCTCTCGACAAGGGCTGCTGCTGCTGCCGGGCACATGCGGTATACTATATATAAGTAGATTCGGCCCAGCTTCGAGAATCGAGATCGGCCCCGGAGTGAGATTCTTCGCACATCAGTGTGCTGGGAAAGGACGTGCGCGCGCATGTACTCTACAAGTGCTAGGTGGTCGTCTAGGTTGCACAGAACAAGGTACCGGGACCACGGCCTACCACCTTGTGCGCCAAATCTCGATGCGGGGTAGATGAATTCCATGGCACACGTGCACACCAGCGCTTCCTTCAGCCTCGTCAATGCGTATGCAGGAATCTCCCCCTCCCCCCACCAAGAACAGAAAGAGGAGAAAGAGGAGATATCCCGTGCATTGTACATATGCAGGCGGCGGCAGTGGATCGCACGCACGGGGTGACGGGACGGGGCAGCCAATCACGGCGCACACATGCATGCTGCTCTTATCAGCATGATCAGTGGCCGAATAGACGAGTCGACGTCTGGGTGCCCAGGCTACCCTACAAGCCAGCCGCATACATGCATACTTGTTTCTGGTGGCTGTATATAGTCTGTGCGTGACGATTCCATCAAAGTGTGCCTCACCGTGCACCCGCACATTATGTCTTGTGTCTTGTGTGTTTTGTGTTTGTGTTTTATCCGAAGCAACCGCCCGCAATGCACTGAAGTGCCCATGCGGGGGAAATCATGCGTCTGTGCAGTGTGTACAGCTGCTTCAACGCAGGCTAGGCTAACTATATCAGTTTGTGCCCATTGTGTTTTGTTTCTTGTGTCTTGTGTTTTTGTGATTTGATTTTTTTACGATTTTCCAAATTATTATTTGATTTTTCCAGCCAGCGAGTCAGTCGGCCAGCTGGCAGCTGTGCGCGACAACACCGCCGCCGCCGCCGCTGTGCTGCTGATAGTGAAGCGTGGGTGTGAATCATGGGATGTGATGGGATGAAATGGGATGAGATAGTTAGCTAGCATAGTTGTTTCAGCGTCCATGTGGCATGTGCTTGTGGCCCCGGCGAACGAGTGATGACGTGTTGATTGGTTGGCAGTTGCAGGAATCAGCGGCTGTCGCGGTCAACAGCGGGGAAGCTAATTCGACAGATCACAAGGGATGGGAACGAACGCTTCGATTCAAGCTGGTGATAGATAACTGACGAGGGACTTTATGATCCATTACGGTGGTATAGCCTTATAGGTAGTAGATGCAGCAGCGTGAACGGTGAACAACAACTGGCTGCTCCTCTAACCTCTGCTGATAATAATCGGATCTCGTTCTGTTTTGCCTTCCTTCATTGAACATTCAGCCCTGTGCTGGTAATGACCCAGACTAAATCCGGCTCGACGAAAAACGTCGAGTGAGTTTTTATGTCCCGCGCGGAATCGGTCAGAGACCCAGCGCCTTATCTGGCACTGATGGACTCTTCGAACTACTTTATAGTCGGTTGCCTTGATCTTGCACCTTCCAATGATTATCTACATGATCCAGAAGAATAATCCTAGGTACCTAGCTGAAGATTTCCTCGGCCGAGTGAGAGCCCATGAGCAACGCTCAACATCCTACCAGCCTCCAGGCCTCTGGTTGAGGCTATCACCGGTACGGTCATGTCGATTAGCCCAAGCTCCTTTTCTCTCTTCCATGAGCACTATCCGAGCGGAGATGTCCATGCCCTCTGAGAGAACAGAGGACCAAGGACAAGGAAGGAAGGAAGAAAACATGGACCGTGATTCGTGGCTCTCCCGAGGCCCGAAGATCGCTAACGAGGGGGATTCCGTCGTCCGAAATTCGCTCACCCGACAAGACGGGGGTTTCGCTTAACCGAGTAACAGCATCCAGGCTCCGTTGCGTAGCACTCTCGCACAGATATCCGAGATGAAAGATAAAACGTAAAGACATGGTTGAGCCTGAGCAGTGAGCACAGGTTGTAGACCTGTGCGTGCGCGGACGTGCACCAGCCCGCTCAGTTCAGCTCTGAAAGAGCCCGGTGTGCTGGCCCCTGGGCGACTCGCTTCATCGTATCGTATCGTACATACATGATACATGCGTCAATTGGATGTTGGATGTTGGATGCTCGAACCTATCATCGCGGAGTCGTGGACTAAAGTAACTATTGGTTGCTGCTGCGATACGCTGCATGCATGCACGGTGTTCAGTAATCCTCTGGTCCTGTAGAGTCCGGTACGATTTCCAGGATAGGTGCCGTAGGATCGGTAATCGGACCGGAGTCCGGACTGGGTACATAAGAGGTGGAACCATTTTGCCGAGAGTGAACGGAGAGTAGACAGAGAGCGGACAGAGAGCGGACAGAAAAACGTTCGGTGTTGTGCGACTGGCACTTACCGAATCATCATCACCGAACCATTGTGGTGGTATGAGTACGTAGCTTTCTGCAAGGCGCGCTCGAGTGCGCTACCTAGCTTTAGACAGGGCTCCGTCCAACAGTACGCTATAGGACCGGCCCTATGGACTTCGTTACCGAGGTGAGCTTCCCGAGCGAGTGATATTCCACCTTACCATCAGATCATCCCCAAACCCCAGGGACGGAGTGTAGCATTTTCACATCGGCAGACACATCCCTCGCTGTGCAGAGTATGTAGGCCGTCCAGGAAGAAACACCCGAGTGAAGCCGTTCAGAAGCTGCCCAAACGGCACGGACCGCCGGGACTGGCCCCGGACGGCGGGCGGACCGGACCGGGGGTTTGAAACGTTTACACCAAGTACGTGTATACCTACATAAATACTGTCGGTAACTGGAATGATGTGTGCTATTCTCTCCCCCTCCGGTCTTTACCGCCGTTTTCCGCATCCCGCTCTCATCTACATCACTTCCACTTCTAATTACAGCGTACCCACTCTACACGTCCGATGATGGGCCCCGACTCCCGAGATAGAGGCACTAGAAAAAGTAGCTGTCTTGCTGATATCTCCGTCGAAGCGATACCGCTTGGTGGATTAGCTGCGGAACTTGGGAGATTAAAGATCGCAGGGCGAGGGGAGCTAGGGGATGGATGGATGGGTTGGCATGGGGAAGTGGTCCACCCAGAATTTTGGGCCTTTTGTGCATGATCACGGATATGCATGCACTGGATGGACGAAGCTCTTCTCCGCGCTTCAAAACTCGAGACCGAGAGGATCGGAATGCGAGTCGAGAATGCATGCTGAAACGATACCTACTAGGGAATTTTTCGCCACAGTGGAAAGCGGCCATGCAGCAGATCATCTCGACGGAGGTACCATATGTGTTCATTTTGATCTATGATAAAGTACAAGAATATTCACACATTTCCCCGCAAAAGCCCCCCCCCCCATATTTACTTATAGTATCTGGTTGTAGTTACTCGCGCTTGATGAGGTTCGCAGCCTATTTGCACACATGTTAGTTCTTGCCCGCCCTTGATTCCCGTCGGTACTGGATAGATGACACATACCCTTTCGGCAACTGCATACACAGTGTTCTGCAAGTGCTTAGCCGGAATCATGGGCATCACACTCGCATCGACGATCCTCAATCCGCGGACACCGTAGATCTTCAACTTTGAGTCCACAACACCGCCCCACTCACGTTTCACCATGGCACAACTACACGACGAGTGCCAGAACGTCGGCCTAGCATCGACGGCGACCCAAGCGGCAAACTCCTCGTCAGTCTGAACGCCTGCGCCGGGGATGACCTCATTTGGGTCGACGATGCCCGCTAGCTCCGGCCGCGCCAACACTCGCCGGATGAACCGGGAGCCTTCAGTGATCACCGCCATGTCGAGCGGGTTCGAGAGCGAGCGCCAATCAACGGTGGGCTTGTCCCACGGGCTGGACGAGACTATCTCGACGAACCCTCGGGAGAGCGGCTTCTGCACCGAGGTGAGCGCGATCACGTTCTCGTTCACGGCGGTCTCGTTGGTTGCGAAGGAGGCGAGCAGCAGCTTCCTCTGCTCGCGGAAGCCGGCGACGAGGTGGGGGTGGATGTCGACCCGCAGATGCGCGGCGGGGTCCTCTAGCGACGCATTATGGAGATGCGAGAGATAGCTGGTCGGCGCGATTATCGGGAACGGATAGAACGTCAGGTGGCCGCCGGAGGCCAGGGTGAAGGGTCCTGAGACCGTCAGTATGAACGAGGGGGTGGAAAGAGAGGATGGTTATCTACCGGTGCGGTTGTGAAAGTACAGCTCTGCCATCTCGGCGCGGTACGTCAAGTTGCTGGCGAACTGGGTTGGGTCCGGGGTGAGAGTCACTGTAAACGGAGGAGATATTACCATATGGCTCGAATTGAAGGGCCGGTGGAATTGGAATCGCACATACTATTGTAGATCAAGGAGGCGCCCATATGGTCCTGGTAGTTATTGCCTACGCCCGGAAGATCCACGACGACGGGGATCCCAAACTTCTTTAGCAGGCGCCCATCACCGATGCCACTCAACTGCAGAAGCCGTGGCGAGTGAACACCTCCCGCGGCGAGGATGACTTCTTTTTTCGCCTTCACCTGCTGCAACGCCGCCGAGGAATCTGTCGCAAACTATGTCGTCACTCCTTATCATCCGGCTGCACGTACTCATTCACTCATGGAATGGCACTCACCTCAACTCCGGCTGCCTTTCCGCCGTTGATCAGGATCCGGGTCACCGTAGAGTAGGTGGAGATTTGGCCGTGACTTTGCAGGATCATAGTACGCAGTCTTCGAGTACGAGCGGGTCCGGGCTACTGGATCGAGAGTATTGGGGGTCCAGTAGGAGCCGACTGCGTTGCCATTGGCTTGGTCGCGTGGTACCGGTACTCCCAGTGCTTTCTCGGCGGCAATGAAGTGCTCTACGGCAACGATCAGATTTCTGGCAAGTAGGGGAAGACTGGAGGTCGTGGACGCTCTCACCAAAGTACCCATACACATATGGCGGATACGACGAGTTGACATGTCCGGAGTAGCCATGCGCTTCCGGATCGTATTCAAGTCCATACTGCTCCTGCAGCTCCTTCGACGGAGGGGTAAACGACTCCACCTGCACGCGGTCCGGCCGTCAGCACCCTGTCGCCCCCACCACGTCTTCACTAGGACATTCACGCACCTTCTTGAAATACTTGAGCATCGACTCCCAGCCCCACCCTTTATCGCCAGTGTACTCAGCCCACTCATCATAGTCCCTGCGACTCCCGCGATCCAGCACCATGCCATTCACTGCCGATCCACCACCCACAAGCTTTGGCATGATGACCTCCGTCGTGCGGTTGTTGAGCATCGCATTGGGCTGGCCCGTAATACCCCACCGGAGCTGGGGATTCGCATTCCCAAGGATGTCCAAGGTCGAGTTGCCGGGGATGAGGATCGTGTTGAATTCCTCTTCGCCATTGAAGATGGGCCCGGCTTCGATTACGAGGATGGAGACTGCGCTGGGTTAGTGGGAAGGGGAAAGGATGCGGACGGGACGGGACGGGGAAGGACGTACCCTTGGGATTCGCGGAGAGTCAATTGGCAACCACCAAGCCCGAAGTGCCGCCGCCGACGATGACATAGTCGTATGAAGTGTTGATTTCGGCGTCGCGGGAGAGCAGGGTGCCAGGGAACGCAGAGACGCTCCATGGGAGGAGAAGAACAGCGAGGCGGAAAAACATATTCACGGGTCGGGATCGCCGTATCTGGTGACTGCTTGTGGATTCGAAGGCGAGAGCTTCGTCCATCTCCACAGCTGCGCAGCTTCCCATCTTATGTACATCTTGTTCTCGACCCCACCTAGAAATTTATAGGTACAGTAACTCACATTGTGTACTCACATAATGTACTCACAGGTATTTTTATCGGTTGGGCACTAGGGTATTAAGAGATGAGTATGAGATATACCTATAGGCATAAAGCATTGCTCGCCGAGAATAACAACAACGCAATAACGACGACGAGTTCATCCCTCAACAGCATGCATATCCAATCGCGTAACTATGGGGGGATGGCATATCAAGCAAAAATATTCCACTCACACCGGCAATGGCACGATATGGCCCATGGGGGCCGGATCCACAACGGATCCGTAGCGGATGTTGATCCTTCTAGATTTGGTTTCCCGAATGCGGATATCTCGGCTGCCGATCGCGCAAATGGATCCACCTGCACGGTTCGTCTCGGTTTTGGGAGGTGGTGGTAGTTTTCTAGTTCACGGTAACTAACCAGAACGATTCCAGACCCATAATGCATTCGAGCTCTTGCCTTTCTACGCGCAAGAATGGACACACACATGCACCTCATATGCGCCTCCAGCTGTTGAGGGCAGGTATGTTCATATGTACCTGGGCTGACAAGCGCCGGCTGGGTAGCTGGGCGGATAATATCAACAGCCGGTAATCATCAATCTACGCAGATCTATTAGCATGCAAGGCGGGAGTTGTGTTGTGTATGACAAAATCAACCGATTCCCCCGGATGGGGTGCATACTATGGAGATATCGCGGATGCATTGCGGTTCCCTCCCGCGTGCTTTCTGAATCACTCGATATCGCTGTATTGGTCCGTAGACTCATAGTCAATCGGCCGTGATCCAATAAGGTTGAATGAACTCTAACCATGATTAAACAAAACATTATACTCTATAAATAAGAATAGGTATCCAGATTCCAGACTCCAGAGTACGTGGCCGTGATCTAGGTATTATGTAGTATGTTAGGTCGAATGATCATGATTGAACAAAAGCTTCGTCCATAAATCAACAGCAAATTACAACTATGTATTTAGCAAACCCTCCTCGACACCATTTAATCAAAAAAAATCTCATCCAGTAGCGGATTCGAAAACCTCTTCTGTAGATCCTCCACTGTAAAGCCCTGCTCCTCCCCAATCTCCCCAAGCACAGCCAAGAACTCCGGAATCTGGTCTTTATACGACACCGTCTTTAGCCGCTGTCTCCACGACTGTCCCTGCACCGTATATCCATCCCTAGATACTCTCAGTCAGCAGGCCATCCCTAGTATAATCGCGAGCTTCGAGGTCGATAACTCACCACTCCTTCGCCCAATGTGGGCGCACGTTGAGCAGCTGCCCATTAGCCTGATACGACGTCCACAGATCCGTGATCTTCTGTGCGAACGGCTCCCAGACGTCCTCCGCGACGGCGGGCATAGTAGTCAGAATCTCTATGCTCGCCGTACCGAAGGAATTATTCGTCTGCGCGGCCATGATCATATCACTCGCGCCGGTGATCCGCATCTCGAGCGCGATGCGCATCGGCGCCGTAGGGTCTTCATAAACCGCCTGGATCGCGTCCCACCACGCCTTCTGCACGACGCCCCAGTCCGCCTTCGTCGCGTCGTCGGCCCGCGCCGGAATCGGGATCTGAAGCTCCATGTCCCGCACCCGCATGTTCTGCACGCCCCGCCGGAAGTGGAGGCCGTCTGGGAGGTAGGTCTTTGCCTCTTGCGTCGGGAGCGCGAGCATGGCCAGCGACGCGAGGATTTGCGCTTGCCAGTGCCCGGGGAGCGCGCGGAAGAGCAATGAGTCGTTGGCTACTCCGCCTAGCCAGCCTTGTAACCATTGCAGGAATGTGTCGGGGTAGGTCGGGTAGTCGATCGCGCCTGTGCTGTCCTGCGTCGTGTCCCAGCAGTTGATGTAGGCTTGCTGTTGATACGGGAACCAGAACCATTCTTCGGATCTGTTAGTCTCACGCAACACAACTCCTACGAAGAGCGAGAGAGCGAGAAAAACACATACCACTGTAATGACTCTCCTCCGCCTTCTTGATGAACGCCAGTCTCGCGGCTTCCAGCCTCGCAGGAGAATAAGACTTTCTTATAGCCTGGGGCACGGTATACCCCGTCGGTGGCGGAATGGCCAGGTTAACATCCTGCTTCAGCGGCTTGAGCTGGGCGTAAGTCATCGTGTCCATCTCTAGGGTGATGTGCGTGACGATTCCCAGGAGGCCGAGGGAGCCCGCCGCAGCACGTAGTTGCGCGGCGTCCTCGATCGACCGGTGAATGCCGTTGGCATCTACGTATTCGATCTTGCGTACGAGATCACTGATGGTTTTGCTCCGGATTCCTGCACCGTGGCAGAGGGGCGCGTTGGCGCCGCCGGCGGTGATTCTGAGTAGTGTGGATTAGCATGGTGATATTCACTCAAGGGGGGAGGGGTGAGTACGTACTCGACGATAATGGTATTCAACGACAGTGCCCACGCATCCCCCCTGACCGACCACCTCCTCAACTCCTCGTTCGTGACCGCAGCGCCGATCCTTACGAGAGCCTTCCCGTCCGTATTTCCGGTCACGTCTTGTAGCTCGATCGTCTTGAACTCATTTGCTAGGTTACTTAGATTATCCGGTAGGATCGAGCTCGGATCCGGCACGTTGGTGGCGGTCTTGAGATCGAGCATGGACACGAACACCTCGTTGTCCTCGGAGAACAGCGACGTCCAGCTGTGCCTGTGCCCGGCCGCTCGTACACGCTTGTCGCTGTCCCGTGCCCACTGGATCAGGCTCTGCAGGCCGTACACGGTCGTCGGGACGAAGGTGAAGGCGGGGGTGTTGCTTACGGTCAACCCCCAGTTTTCGAACGCGAGGCCGATGTGGGCCTAGCACACAGAACCCATTACCACATGTACTATCGAGAAGCCGGAGCGTTCAGGAGGAAAAGAGACGTACCACCATAACCTTCTCCTTCGCGGCGTCTTCATACACGGTAGGACTCATCTGGCGCTTCGCATTGAGCCACCTCCTGCGGCCCTTCCCCATGGCTGTTCCCTCCATCTCGACGAAATGTCTTTTGGAGACGGGGCTCAGCGGGAGCGTAAACCCGGCGTCGCCCACCACCTCCGTGGCGGTAGCCCCGCCCATGAATGCCGTGACCTTCGTCTGCAAGTCCGAATCTAGCTCGCCGTACGCAGTCGAGAAGGCATCGTGCAGCTTGATCGAGTTGAGAAATCCCCGGAGGTACGCCTCGTTCTCGATTGTGCCGCTCTGGACTTTGACGAGGACATCACGGAGACCCGGGAACGCGGCACGGAGCGGTTGCGAGGTCGCCAGCGAGGAGATCATCTCGCTGAGGATTTTGGTATCTACCAGGTCGCCTGTAGGGATGGTTTAGCTACGTTTGGTGGGGAGAAAGATGGCATACGCACCGACAATGGGGAGCAGGCCGACGATATCTAGGATGCCATCAAGGAGGCCGGGTTGGGGAGCGGCGGTGACGGCAGTGAATGTCAGAGGCGCGGAAAAGAGAAGGAGTACGCTCGAGATGCGCATTGTGGGCCAAGCGAGTGACGATATCCAAAAAAACGATTGTATAGAAGCCAGGCGCGTCCTGGTTATCCTGGGGATATGTAACTTCTGAAGTTTGGCGGTTTTTAAACACTATTCATGGTAACTGGGTAGGTGCTATATAGTTGTTAGTGCCTACGGCATCGGAAACTCAACCCCTATGCAGAATAGGGTAGGATAGCTGAAGTGCCGTCCCTAGGATTCATGATGAATTCTCCACCGTCAGCTAAGGGGCTACGATGTTTTCCGGTGAGTTGAGCCTGTTCCGTACATGGGCCCTTGTTCCTCCGACCGCTATGCCTTTCAACGTTAGGTCAAGTCCGCGTCCTGAGACATTCAGCCCAGAGTTATCCGGAGGATTGCGTTTCTGCAATGCTGAGATGTTGATATTGCAAAATATCTGTGCGACGATGGTACGTACATACCTCGACCAGAGAGAGAGAGCGAGATAAGCGGACAGCTGAGATGAGAGCAAACAGGTTTTATGGTTTCGCGATACCGACGGGTTCCTGCAGCTTCAAGCGCCGGCCCAGGCGCGGATGGGATGTCCGGACCATACTTGGCTATACGGCCCGGCCCGGCCGTTCGCCATCGAACTCCCCTTCTACGGGGACATTAGGATTACGATTGCACGGTATCTCATTCTGTCTAGGTACGTACTCTTACAACTCCCACAACACCAAAAAATGATGATTGTCGTGAAACACTCGGTCTACCTCTCGGGACCACCGGGTCCAACTCCATAAACGCCGACCGTATAACCTGCCCTGACAACGCCCAAATCCCACGCCATACGGATCGAGTCGCTAACAAGATCCATCTTCGTCCCTTCGACCTCATGCCAGCTCACCGGCACTTCGACGACAGGTATCCCCTTATACCCCGCCAGCAGCAGCACCTCAATATCGAAGATCCAGCCCTCAGTCCGCAAGTCCTCAAACACAGCTTTCGCCGCCTGTCTTGAGAAAAGCTTGAAGCCACACTGGGTGTCCTGAATCTCCCTTACACCCACCGTCTTCAACAGCATATGGAAAGAGTACATCAGTAGATTCCGCACAAAACTGCGCTTGACCACCGCATCGGTATTAACCATATGCGCCCTGCTGCCGACAGCGATCCCGTAGCCCTTCTTCTCCACGCCTTGAGCAGCCGTCATCAGCGCCGTAACGTCGGAGAACTTGCTCGCGCCGTCGGCGTCGGCGAAAATAGCGTATTTCCCGCGGACGTGGCGCATCCCGTGTGCGACCGCGCCGCCCTTGCCGCGGTTGCGCTCCAGCATCACAACGCGGATCTGGCCCGACGCCACGAGCGGGGACTCCGCCGCGAACTGAAGGGCGATGGAGGCGGTGTCGTCACTGGAGCCGTCGTCAACGACGAGGATTTCCCAGTCCTCGGGTTCGTAGGCGCTCGCAAGGAACTCGACGGCTTCGAGGAGCATGGTGGGGAGACGCGCCTGTTCATTGTAGGCGGGGACGACAACGGAGAGGGTTAGGGTGGGTTCGTCGGTGGAGGTTGTGGGGAGCGGCTGTGGCGATGTCGGTGTTCCCGATGCGGCCGTCGTACGGAAGGTGCGCTCCGATACTGTGGAGAGGCGCGGATGGTGCGCGATCAGGTGGAGGAAGACGTAGGCCTGGGCTTGTTAGCAGGGAAGGAAGAGTGAAGAAGGGGAATGTACACTGATGAGTGCAGTCGTGATAAAGATGACTACAGCCGTGATCATATATGAGGGGGGAATCTCATTGATGAATGCGCGGGGGTCCTGTTGGAGGAGGTGCAGGTAGTGTATTGGAGCAATTGCAGTGGGGTCACCAGCGGGAGTGCCCATTGTGGCTGGCTGGTGTGACGTCGTGGTTTCTTGAGTCGTCTTTCTTGGTGGAAGGAGCGGAGACGACGACTGCGGCGTTGCATACAAAGGAGAGTGGTGACGATGTGGTGGTGATGGTGTTGGAGCGGGAGCGGGATTCGAGAGAGTGTACGCAACACAAGTGCTCTCTTTGATGTTTAGGTGTTCTCTTTCCCCGAGGTGGTTTCCGACCTAATCCCCTGTTCCCGCGTGTAGGAGCTTACGTGCAGCTGGGGCGTTATCCTTGTCGAGTTGCGAACGCGGAGAGAATGACACCACATGATACGAATGGCCGTTAAACCTTACATTGAGTCTCCATTAAGCCTCGTCGTGGAAAGTGCTATGTATCCTTACAAGTTATCTAAGCTTTGTTGCCTAGGCCTCACAGAAGTTTTGGCCTCACAGAAGCTTTGGCCTCACAAAAGCTTTGGCCTCACAGAAGCTTTGGCTTCACAGAAGCCTTGGAATCCAAAAGCCTTGGTCTTACAGGACCCTTTATATCAATCCCAGTCCCATCTTCATTATACGATCCCCTAGCTTTTGGTATGTACAAACGTGCTCTAGCCAAAAATAGAAAGCTACCTCTAAGCAAACTTGGTACTCTTGACGATGTTCTTCTTGATACCAGTAGCCTCTCCGCCATACGCTCCCTGAAGGCCGCCCTTGTAGACCGCCTTGACGGAGCTGACCTTCTTCATCTTCTTCTCGTACTGCAGCTTCTTCTTCACTCTGGGATTCCGCACTTCCTTCTTCCTCTTCGGTTGCAGCCCCTTGTTCTTCATGATCTTCCACCCAATCTCTCGCTTTCCGTCGGGCCCTACCGCACCCTCCACCATCTGTGCCATGTTCCCCTCCTTTACTGCCGCCTTGTTCGCTTCGTAGAGTTGCTTCTTCTCCTCCTTCCGTGCCTTGGATGTGGAGACGAGGAGGTCGTAGTACTCATTGTCAGGGTCTTCGGCCGGCGCTGCCGATTTCTTGGACTGTCGCAGCGGTTCCGGCTCGTTGTCGGAGAGGTTGGCACCTTCGCCCTTGTCTCGTCGTCTCTGCGCCTCGGCCCGTAGCCTCAACTCTCGCTCCTTGCGTCTCTCGCGATGGGGAACATCCATATCTCCACCAGCACCTCTTGAAGCCGCATCACGTTTCGTAGACTTAGCATTGATCTGCGAAGTAAAGAAGCGCAAGCCCTTCTTACGCTTCGCCTTCTCCTCAGCATCGATCACGTTCAGTACCGCCTCCTCGCCAAAGTCCTCGTCCTCGTTCGCCCGCTTGACGATTCGTTTTGTCTTCGAGGTCTTTGACGGGAATGCAGTGAGCGCGTCCAAATCCGTAAAGTCCTCCTTCGTAGCCCGGGCCTTCTTGACCACCTGCACAGTAGTATCCGAGTGCTCCGAATCATCGTCGCTGTCCTCATCTTCGCTCTCGGCAAGCTTCCGTTTCCGTCCCTTATCGGCATCCTCTCGCTCCTCGGTCACCGATTCCAGTCTTGCTTCGATCCTTTCGACACGCTCGCCCTTCACCTTGTCCCACGCCTGTCGCACGGCCAGCAAAGCGGACATAATAGGGTGCTCACGCACTCTATCAATTGCGCCGTCGTCCTCCTTCCCCGCCTCCGTCAGGATGGCGAAGTACATGCTCAACACGCCGAGGTATGCACTGGCGACCTTCCACTTCCTGACCACAGCACTCGTCTTTTCCGTCTCACCAACTGTCTCTGCAGCCATCGCACCCATCTCGAGCGCGGGGAAAAGGGTCTGCAGTGCCAGAAACTCTTCCGAAAGCGGCACGAACTCTGGGTGGCGGGTATGCAGCAGCTTCAGTCGCTCCTCGGGAGTATCTGGGAGCTTCGTAGGTAGGGTTTCCGTAACGACGGCGGTGGATTTAGCGTTGGGCGCGGCAGAAGCAGACCAGTCGTCGTCATCGAAGGCGAAGTCGGAGACGTTGAGGGCGGCGAGTTGCTTCGACTGGATACGCAGCGCTTCGGCTTCCTCCTCTGCGGCGTCGACATCCTCATCGGCATCGTTATAGTACGCCCTCTTGCCGGAGCCCCATCCTTCCTCCGCTTCTTCGTCCTCCTTCTCGGCATCCGATTCATCGTCGGATTGGGCGTTCCCCGCATCCGCTTCCTCTTCAGACTCGTCTTCGTCTTCTTCATCCTCGTCAGATTGCTCATACCCATACTCCTTAAGCCCCATAACCTCCTCCTCATCATCCTCGTCGTCATCGTGGCGACCACGGTCGAGCGCTTCAAGCGCCACCTGATCCCGCTGCAGTTGGAAGGTATCCTCCTCGTCCGCTACGTCCTCCCACGTAGTGACCTTCGCAAGTTTTGCATCCTTCGCATTGATCGTCGGTTCGGATGCCGTGGGTGCACCTGTGCGCGAGGAGGTAGAACGTCGCTTTTTGCCCATTGTTGTCTTTGGTGGAGGTTCGAGTGGAGGTGGAGGTGGAGAGGTGGAGGTTGAATAGTGAGGTGAGATTTGCGCGAGTGGGAAACTTTTTCGACAAGGATACGTGCGACGCTAGTTAAGTTAGTGAGCGGCTTGGAAGACTATTCATTGAATATCACTCGTCGGGTTTGTCTGCGATTTCGGCGTGAACGGAAGAACGTCCTCTTCATTGGCTACACCGCCAATGGACAGTTGAGCCAGAAGTATTTCATCAGCCCAAGGACTTGTCGATTTTGTCTTACGATCTGGACCAAAGGTACTACGGTAGTCTCCGTTACGACCCCTGCTCATGCAGGTCGACACTAGCTTCCGCTGTGCTCTTGAGCCTCATCCAGGACAACCGATCACTCATCTTCAATTCGAGGACACATCAACAAGCTTAAGCCGCCGTCACCATTCCACCGCCCAGAATCCGCCCATGTCTGCACTCACCACCACACTCACCTCCTACCCTATTATAGGCTCCTTCCTCGCCCTCTCCACCTCCCTCGCAATCATGCCCCTATTCCGCAGCAACCAGATGCCCATCGCGGGGCGCGTAGTAATTGTTACCGGTGCATCCCAGGGAATGGGCAAAAGCGTTGCGATACTTCTCGCGCAGAAGGGCGCGCACGTCGCCATTGTAGCCCGGAACCGACAGAAGCTCGATGACGCGCTGGTAGAAGTCAAGGTTCGACCGCCCCTCGAGCTGCGCAGTTAAGCAGCCGCTGACGCGAAGTCCAGACCGCAGCACGTGATCCGACGCAGAAATTCCTCGCCGTCTCAGCCGACCTCTCGACCGGTCCTGGCACGGCCGCCGCCTTCGAAACAATCGCGGCCTCCTTAGGCGTTCCCGACATAGTCTGGAACTGCGCCGGCGGCACCACCCCGGGATACTTCAAAGACCGCACCTCCGCCGAGCTCGAGGGCGAAATTGGCACGAACTACTTCACGGCCCTCCACACCGCGCACAGCGCCGTGCGCATGATGACTGCAAACCCAATCGCGAACCCCACACAGCAGCAGAAGCGACACATCATCCTGACGAGTTCGGTACTGGCGTTCTACCCCATCGCAGGCTACAATTCGTATTCCCCCGCCAAGGCGGCGATCAGATCCCTCGCGGATGGACTGAGACAGGAGTGTATCCTGTATGATATCGATGTGCACGCTTGCTTTCCCGCCACGATATTCTCGCCGGGTCGCGAGGAGGAGTTGAAGACCATACCGGAGTTAACGGTGATACTGGAGGGCTCGGATGAGGGACAAACGCCGGACCAGGTGGCGATCGAGTGCGTTAAGGGGCTGGAGAGGGGGGATAAGCTGGTTACTACTACGCTTATGGGAAGCGCCATGAGGGGCGGCTCGTGGAGTGGCAGTCCAAAGGGCGTGTGGGACACCATCTTCGCGATGGTGCTGCAAGTGGTGTGGAGTATTGTGGGGAGGGTGCTGGATTGGGAAGTGGTGAAGTATAAGAGGCGACTCGTGAAGGAGGGGAGAACGGTTTAGATGAAACCCGGTTTGTTTGTTTTCTTCCGATTCTGTAGATAGGGCTTTAATGATGATGTTGTAATGGTACATGGCGTGCGAATTGAATCTTGGATACAGATGGATCCGTCCTCTATAGTACTGCACGCCCCAGGATGCGGCGTACTCTTGGGGGAAATTTCACGTCTCTAGTTGCGGTAACAGTGCCATGGACGAGGGAACGACCGATTCCATCTCATTCAATTTCTGTTTCAGTGCTATATTCGCGGGACTGTGTACTGGAGCTGAATGCAGCTCCATTGGGATACCATTACTGATATCACTCCGGAGATACTGTGTTATTATTATTGCTGCTGTGTAAATACAACGTACTCAAAATCATGCTGATATCATTCCGTAGCAGGTCCGAAATCAAACGAATTCATGTTTACATATATGCAGTAGAGAGATAGTATCACCACGGCATTTAGAATATTACAGTACCTTAGGAATATGAATTGATTGGAACGGAGTAGTTAATTGACCGCTGACATATTGATAAACCTGTTGCGCTCCCGTCAACCAACGGCATTCATAGATGCATTCCATCCTCAGCCGCCCTATTTCGGCATTGTATCTCCCAGGAGTGGCGAGGTGTCACCTATGATCACTCGCACTGAGAAAAATTGGAAGGTGTTGGAAACTATGGTGGAGACGCAGTGAATTGATCCATCCTGCGGGTCGGATGCTAGATTAGGTTGATGACTACGAGGGATAGTTATGAAAACTCTGCAGTGCTATGTAAAAAGCAAACGAACACGAACGAGTGACCAGGTAAGGCACGACGAGTGATATACTGCAACAAAGGCCATTTTGGCGCTGCAACCTTCCAGCACTCGACATGTCCTTGGCCCCATACGCCAGCTCTAGTTGCTGGGAGCCGCCCTACTACTCAGAGTGTTGTGGTGTGCTCGGCCATGTTTGAACTCATCTAGTAGATGGAGAAAGTACGAGTGAGCGCCAGTGACTGGGCCGCATGGTGGATAAAAAGCCGTGGTCATCTCAACATTAATCACTGCATACAGCAGGCTGTCGTTTTTGATTAGCATGCCTTGTCTTCGCGATGGCGGGGAACTGGGACGGGACACATATTTCGTACCGTATCAGGTCATAAAAACACGTATTTTGACCGTACTGATGCGATATCACTAGCATTTGCTTGATGCGTTAGCACTGCCACATTTTTGGCGAAATATGATAGCTTTATATAGCATATTTTTGCTACAATACGTGACGAAGTGAGTAATACACTCCGAAAGTTGAACCATTGCGCCAGCAGGCATATGATTTTACTTACGTGGCGTATTTTTGACCAGATACAGCAGTGCAATGTGGAGCCAGCACAGGTGCATATTTTCAAGGGGCTACATACTACGACGACACTATGTGTCAATACGGCTCATTTTTGTGATACAGCTCGTAGTCTTTATACGGCTCGTAGTCTTGTTACGGCTGTACTGCAACCTACAGAGAGTTGCCAGAACGCGTTTCGATACGCTTGTCACTCAGCGATACGTATCCAATACGTATTGGCAAGCGACTACCACATGGAAATGCGATGGACTCACAACTTCCATATCGCTACACATTGTGTATTCATGATCCTACGTATCAGATTATCTCTGTCATAGCGCTTGCTTAGCGATACCATATTCCGGCCCGACACGTAATGATTCAGGATATTGTATTGCTACCATTTTTTTTACCCCCGTCTCCTCCTCAGTTCGTCGACCGGCCAACTCGATCCAAATGTCCCCCGACACCCCTCCTACCAGGAAGCGACGGTGATGTGATCATATACCTACTATATAATGGTTCTCGACTCTACTCCAGGTAGAGAATTTTTCTAGATGTCTCCATGAGAAATACCGAGTGATTTACGGTGACGTTCATTTTCATTCGAGTGGCCACTTTCCAGCGAGGAATTCGTCTCCTCTGCATTTCCCCATTCAAATTAGAGCATCTGGACTTGATCTCCCATAGTGAATTGAGAAAAATCGAGAGCCAGGGGCTAACTTACCAACCAGAAATCGCTGCGTGGTGCGTAGGTACTAGGTCCATTGACCTGAAATTTGATCGGTGAATAGGTACGCCAGTAGATGCCCTATATGCTTTGCTGTAGCGTCCTACGTTACTCCTTTATAAATCTTGAGTTCATATGAACTAAATCTGGCCAGGTACGAGCGGCCCTGTGATCGGCTGTCAGTGAATGCTTGGTAGGCTAATAGGTACTTGTTGTCAGAGCGTCCTACGATACTCTAAATAATACCGTACCTACGAGTGCTATAGTGAAGATACTCGCATGATGTCCCAAGAAGCACATACCAGCTCGTGCGGTATCCTTGCAAAATCTTTTAATGCAATATTCCACCGGTTCGAGTGATCGAAGGTGCACTCAGTTATCAAAGCAAACATCGATAATGAACATACTCCAAAGGGCTGTAGCGGGAGCGTAAAGTGGCCAGTTTATATGTAGATGAGTCCTGGACATGAGAGGTTGGCTCCCAAGCCATTCACTCGTAAACAAACAACATACTACCTACCTAGTACACTACACTTCGTTCGCGGCACCGACGACAAAACCCTCGGTTGGCCTCCATTCTGTCTCATATGCTCGTCTGCGTGCGGCCTACACTTGAACACAGCAAAGGAAGGCTCCCCAGAAGGGATCTGGTTATCTGTCTATATTCGTTCTTGCTCATCCGTCTCCGTCCGGCACTCAGCTGCATGCACCTCGCATGGTCCCCGAAACCGATCGGTGAAGCCAGGACTGAACAACTCTATGAGAATTGCGTTGGCTACGATCAGTGCAGCCGGTTTCACTGGTCCGAACCGGTCCGGCTCTCGTACCGCTGCCTTTGTAGCTATCGACCCGGTTTGGACGGTCAAACCAGTTCAGTGGCCCGCTCCTCTTACAGCTACTTTGATGTCTACGTGAATAGGCTAGTTTACAAACTATTGGCTGGTCCGCCTCAAGTTGTCAGAGAAAACAAGTTAGGGTGGGTTGATGGGAGCACCGTTTTGAGTCCATGGCAGCGGTGAGAGTCCCAGAAAGTGATGGTTGGCGGGGGGGGCACGACTTTCGTCCACTATCAAAGTTGGCCATGATCACTCATTCATATCACTCTATCTCCTGCCTATTACTCTAGAGTACCTGTCCCAACCACTGTCTCTCACGTCCAGTCCCGTACCTACGTTTTCTTTTTGATTAATCATTGATTGCATGCGACCTGGACGGATCATGGCAATATACACACACCCTCTCCGTTTCCACGGCCCTGTCCAGCCCGACTTTCATCGAGCGGTCCGATGTGGTTTCCCGTACCCCAGACTGGCCTGTCCCATCGGTAGAAAAAGAGCGCAACAAGGATACAGCACTAGGAAAGACAACGTCCGCTCCCTCGACTCGTCCCTACTCCGCCTCGCTGCCTCCTGCCTCTTCACAATGGCAATATCCGCCCATACACTCTCCGTTTCCACCCCACTGTCCAAAACTCGACTTTTGTCCAGCGGCCCGGTGTGGCCCCCCCATGCCCTCCGCCCCGGCCTGTCCCAGCAATAAAAGCAGAGCACACAAGGGAATGACACTAGGAAAAGACAAATTCCGCACCCCCTCCCTGCTCCGCTCCGCCTCCTGCCTCTTCGTCAGGGGATGCCATGAAGGAGGGTGCAGTGGGGATGAACAGCGGTCCGAGTAACCTTGGCTCCTCAACGTCAGCACCTCGTCTTAACTCTACCTCCCTCTGTTCCCGCTCCCTTGGCTCCTACTCGGACACCTCACTTGCTGCATCTTCCTCATCGGCCTCTGGGATTCGCCTGCCCACATTAGTGGAGGAGAGGAAGTCTTGGATAGCCTAGCTGCACCGCTCGTCTGCGAAGAGGTCTCGGATTTTGAAGCGGTCTTTGCCCCTCCCTGTCTCCTTCCGAACCTGTTCCCATAGTATCTTTTGCTGACTTTTCTATTACTAATAGGACTTGAGAAGGTGCTCCTGCTTCTCGGTCTTGTAGCTGCACCATCCTCAGCGCGCATCTGGCCGGCTCTTCGTCCACTGGAGGTATTGGCCGGTGAGGCAGTGTCCCGTCTTCAGCTGGTAGAATCTTGAGGCCAGGCGCTTGGGGCCATCGCCGGAATTGAATCAGTTTCTGGCCAGATTTCTGGCTCTACCGGTAATTCTTGCTGGTGATTTTCGCTTCCGCCCATGCCTTTGCTTCCTTCTACTTGGCTTCCGTGATCCGGCGCTTCAGATAGGCTGACAATGGAGGTGGTGGCAGCCTGATGCCGTACTAGTTGAGGTAGTGCCCTCTCCACTCTACGAGCAGTGGGGTTGTCGGCTGCTAGCTTGGCCTATTCATTAGCCTTTTCCAGTCACGTACGTGGATCCACTCCCTACTATTTCGGTAACTAACCAGGAGTGATATTTCATGCGTCGGTCGCCGTCGTCGGGCACTAGTTACCGCATCAATTTTGCGTCAATCAGCGCAAGAAGTAAATCTTTGCACGACGGCAAGATTTATTGCTCTTAGATACTAGTCTGCCCAGCAGAGATTCCAGCTCATGAGGGTCTCGACCGAAAATGTTTCCGTCAATCATCCTTACACTAGTGCCATTCAGTTTGAGTGTGACGCTGCCAAGCCAGCATCTGGAAACACCACCAGAGCCTCCTCTCGCCTTCTTCCGCTCGCTCGCTTCTGACAACCCAAACACGGACCACACACCCAAACCACAACACCAACACCCAAAATACCGCCGCTAACAACCCAAACAACGCCTACGCAAACGATACCGTACACTTTTACCTTCACGACGAACGCGAGGCGACACGCGAAACGATGGAGCTAAATCCCGATGGTCTGATGGCGTACAAAGTCACCGAGTTACGCGCCGAACTTAGAAAGAGAGGATTGCCGTCGACGGGATTGAAGCAGGTGCTGGTCGATCGCTTGAGGGACTTTTTGCTGCAAGAACAGGAGCAGGACGCGCCGGCAGATGAGGATGAGGAGGAAGTGCAGCCGCGACCGGAGGAGCAGGCGCCTACGGAAATTGCGCCCTTCCTTGATGTACCGACGGTGATTGCGGACGCGTCGGTAGCTGAAGAAAAGGTTGAGGACGCGCCGGCAAGTGCGCCGCAGCCTCCGACATCTTTACCGGAAGTGCAAAAAGAGGAGTCTGTACCTGCGCTAGAGGCCGAAGTACAGAAAGAGGACACTGAGACTTTACCAGCTACTGACGACGTGCCACCGGCAGAAGATGTCTTGGTTACGGAAGAGGAGGAGGAGGACGCGTCGGAACCGGAAGCTATGGAAGTCAGCCATGACGAACCTCAGCAGCCGATTGAAGAGAAGACCGCCGAAGAGATGCCTTCCGAACCCGTCGCTGCGACCTCGCCGCTGCCCCCGGCGCCCGAGGCTGCTCCTGATGTCGAGATGGAAGCTCCTGACGTCGAGATGGAACACGCGCCGGCTCCAGAGCCCGAATCCGTGGAGCCAGTATCGGAGTCAGCACCGGAGGTCGTGGCAGAACAAACTGCTCCTGAGACTGCGCCTGAGACCACACCCGAGACCGCGCTGGAAGTTGTACCTGAACACGCCCCAGAGCCTGTCGCAACGGAGCCTGTTTCGGAGCCTATGCCGGAGCCTGTCGCAACAGAGCCTGTTTCAAAGCCTATATCGGAGCCTGTCGCAACAGAGCCTATTGCGGATCCTACGTTGGAGCCTGTGCCGGAGCCCATGTCAGAGGGACCTGTTGCAGATTCTGCGAGGGTAGAAATTAGCACGGCGGAGCCAATGGAGATTACACCCGCCGAAACGGCTACCGAGGGTACGTCGGTTTCTCAGCCGGCGCCCGGCACCCTCGTGTCAGACGATGTCCCACCCGAGACAGTTTCGGTCGAAGGAATGGATGTGGACCCTGCCGACTCGCTCAAGCGCAAGCGTCGCTCCGATACCCCGCCACCGTCTCACCTCGCGTCCGTCGAGCCCTCCGCCGAAGACGATATTACTCCTCCATCGCCCAAGAAGCAGCGTGCGGAATCGCCGCCGCGCCGTGGCCGAGACGCGCGGTTCAAGGGTCTCTTCAACGACTCTGCGCTGGCTACGGATCAAGAGCTTGAAGACAACGATCAGGACGAGGCGCCAGTCGAGCCCTCGATTCACCCTGTCACCCGTGCACTCTACATCCGCAACTTCGTGCGACCACTGCAGGAACCTAATCTACGCAATCACATATTGACTCTCGCGTCACGTAGCGATGAGGAACCTGCCTCGTCATTGATCGAATCGTTCTATCTCGACCCGATCAGGAGCCATGCGCTGATCGTGTTCGACACCCCGGGTTCTGCCAACAGGGTCCGCGGCGGTATCCACAATAAGGTGTTTCCGCCCGAGAAGACCAGGAAGCCGTTGTGGGCGGACTTCGTACCCGAGGAACACGTAGCCGAATGGGTTCAGCGCGAGAAGGCCCGGGGCATGGGAGCTCGTTGGGAGATTAGCTACGAGACTGTCAACGGAGAGGTCACGGCAGAGCTGGTGGAGGGTGGAATGGGCAATGCGGGTGGCAGACTGGCAGGTCGCATTGGCAACGTCAGTGCTGGCGCCGCCAACGCTGCGGCAAGAAAACGAAGCATCGACATCTCGAATGCGCCCTCTGGCCCCAGGAGGACAAGTGAATGTAGGTTTCCCCGTTCATTGATGTTGAAGAGAGACGACGCTGACCATGACACAGCTGCCCCAGGTGCCTACATACCCCCGCCGATGCAGAGCGGATCCACTGGACCAAGGGAGAAACGGCCCAAGGTGATGAATTTCGACCAGCTCTTCCTGAGCACGCGTGCGAAGCCGAAGTTGTACTATCTCCCGGTCGATAAGGAAGTTGCCAGGGAGAGGCTGAGGAAGCAGGGGAGGGATTCGAGGGGGAGGTACTAGCTTAACCACTTTTTCTATCACTTGCTATAGGGTTTTCTCCGTTTGTTTTGTTCTGAGAATCGTCTCAGGCCGAGGTCGTAGTAAGTACGATGGTAATGTACATAATTAGACGTGTTACATGGGCTGTACGGAAAACTTTTCTACCTTTTTCTGCGAATCATTTTTTTCTTTCATTCCACTTTCTTTACCGTAGGAGTTACTATCAGTATCAATTACCTGCCTGCATGTTTGCATGCCTACAACTGTCGCCTACCTGCGGGGGTGGGGGTGATTGCCGCCGGCTTCATGTGCGTGCGTGAGCGGACACTCAAGTCCCACACGCTTAATCTCGGCAGAGCACGTGCAACCAACCGGCACCAACCAACCAATATCGTCACCCCGCCGCCTTCCCACCCCACCAGCCTACTCCAGCCCTCGCCCCACCACCACCACCACTCCCACTCGCTCACCCGCACCACCGCTACAACCAGCAGCAGCAACAATGACCACCCTCCGCATCCTCGTGCCGATAAAGCGGGTGCTCGACTACGCACTGAAGCCACGCATCGCGTCGTCGGGCAAGTCCATCGACCTGACGGGCCAAAAGATGAGCCTGAACCCCTTCGACGAGCTCTCGATCGAAGCGTCGGTGCGCCTACGCGAAGCCCACCCCGCCCGCATCGCCGATATCCTCGCGTTCTCTGCCGGCCCCGCGAAGTCGCAGGACGCCCTGCGCACTGCTATGGCGATGGGCGCGGATCGCGGGCTGCTTGTGGATGCGGGGGTGGAGAGCGACCTCGAGCCGCTGGCGGTCGCGAAGATTCTGAAGATGGTCGTGCAGAAGGAGGAGTGTAACCTTGTTATTCTCGGGAAGCAGAGTATCGATGACGACGCTGGGCAGACGGGACAGATGCTTGCGGGCCTCCTCGGGTGGGGGCAAGCGACGCAGGCGGCCGAGCTGACGCTCGAGGGGGATAACATTACTGTCGTGAAGGAGGTGGATGGCGGTACCGAGACCGTCAGGGGGAAGCTGCCCATGGTCGTCACGACGGATCTCAGGCTCAATGAGCCGAGGTACGCGAGCCTGCCGAATATCATGAAGGCGAAGAAGAAGAAGCTGGATAAGGTCGCGTTGGCCGAGTATGGTGCGGGCTTGGAGAGGCGGCTCGAGGTGCTGCAGGTTGTTGGTGCGTTCACACTTATTCCCGTCTACAGATATACAAGTGCTGACGAGTCCGAACAGAACCCCCGCCACGGCAAGGCGGCGGCAAGGTCGAGGATGTTGGCGGCCTCGTCGCGAAGCTGAAGGAGCTGGGCGCGATCTGAGCGCCATCTGAGCGGTTGAGGCGACTGTACGAATTGTTCGGGTGCGGGGAGTGTAACTACTACTACTATCAATAGACTCCAGCGATTAAGAAAAAATGTCAATATCAATATATCCAAAACATGTGCGTGCGTGGATGGGTGGATGGGTGATATGTATGCACCCCACAGTACTATCCATGCGCGACATCGTGCCTGTCCTGGTGCCTGCCTTGGTGCATAGCAAAAAGACGAAAACGCGCAAAGGAGCTGAGCGCTAATACGGTATGCTCGAGTGATTTCGTGAGTGCCCTCTGCTTCCATTCACCACTGCCTCACACCAGCCATTTGCCATCAAGGCCTCTACAAGATCGAAGTACTCTATGTAGGATGTATCAGACTGCCTTCACAGCCTGTGCGCGGTGGCTCACTTCTGTGCTCACCAGTACTGTACATACGGCAACTACGGGCAGAGAGGCCGCACTCAATCAACGATCGGACAAAAAAGGATTAGATATCGGGATACCTATTCAGGATACGCCGAGTGCGTAGGTATGCCATATCGTCGAAAAAGTCCGAACAACTGGGTAGGTATCCAACCATCTAGGTGGGACTGGATGAGGGTTTGGTCGTTGGTGACTCACAAGCCCAGTGACGCGGAGTCTGCGCTTGGAAGGGGGCGAGGTGTGGCTTTACGGGTGTGAGATACCAGTATCCATGACTCTTCACCTTCACCTTCACCTTCACCTTCACATTCACATTCACATTCACATTCGCATTGACATTCACCTTCACATTCACCTCCGTCATCAGCACACCGCCACTGCCATTGCCAGTGCGACTGATAGAATACCCACCCGTGTCCAGTCCTGCCACAACACAGCCCTTACACTAGCCGGTGGGAGACGAGTAAAAGTGAATGATGGGATGATTTCCTCCGAGGATCTTGTGTGTTGTGACTACTCGTACGTGTGATGTGGCATGGAACCGTTTGCTGTACTCTACTCTCACTCGCTCGTCGATCCATTCAATGTATCGTAGCAGCACCACGCACTTCACCGCTTCCTACGGTATCGGTATTGGTATTGGTATTGGTATTGGTATTGGTATTCCCCAACCTACAACTTACAACGCGCAACGCACAAGTTACGCACAAGTTACACACAAACGCCGCAACGCCCATCGCCCTCCCACCCATCCCCACCCACTCCATCCCCACCCATCCATCCCACCCCACGCCCCGTCCCACCCCATCCCACCCATCCCATCCCATCCCAGGCTACATCCCCTCCGTCGCAACCTCGACCCTCTCCCCTGCCCCAACACGCCTAACCACGCCGCCGGCCACACGCTCTTGCATCCGTCCCTTCCACGGACTCCCCCCCTCCAGCCTCTCCTCCACAGTTTTCGCGACCTCCCACCGTCTCCTCAGCACTCTCCACGCCGCCCCATCCGTATCCCTTCCCGCTCCCAAGCTCTGTTCCGGCAGCTTTGCAAGCATCCCCATTACGCCGGGGGCGTTGAGGATCTCCTGCACCCCCCAGTTTCCCTCGCTGGCGGCAATGGCGGCAATGATATTCAGCGCCTCGACCGCGGACTGACCGTGCACGAGGGTCTCGGAGAGCGCGGTGAGGCGCTCGTACATATCCGACGACGCGGCTGCGTACTCGCGGTACAGCGGTTCGTGCGGTAGGAGGAGGGCAAGGGTGCGCAGGAACTCGGGGTGGGGTGGGGACAAGGGGAGGAGCGAGACGATGTTTTTGCCCACGAGAAAGGCGGGGGGGAGGGCGCGCAGCAGGGTTAGTGTTGGGCTGTGCGGAGGCGCGTAGGGCTCCGATAGGTGGTGCGTGATCAGCTTGAGCAGCTCGCCGCCCAGGGGCTTGTCCGCGGGCTGCGAGAGCCGCGACGGGAAGTGTGTGATCAGCGTGCCGACGAAGGCGCACGCCTTCGGCTGCAGCAGGTCCACGTCGATGGAGTCGTCGGTGTACTCCTCTGGGCGCAGGGCGAGCGCGACGACTTCGCGCACGATCCCCAGGTCCTCGAGGAACGCCAGCGCGCGCTTCTTCGACGCCCCGAAGAGCACCGTGTAGAACTCTAGCAGCAGCATGTGCATCATGACGTCCTCGCGGTCCGCCACCATCTTCGCGGCGACATAGTACAGCAGCCCACCATACTCCCGGCCATCCCGCTCCTCCAGCACCTCGAAGTACTCCGCTTCCACCGCCGGAAACCGGCTGCGGCAGACTAGCTCCCAGTCACACGCCGCAATCCGCGGCATCAGCTCGAGCAGCCGACTCTGCGCGTGCCCCGCCCTGCCCCCCTCGCCCACCTTCGTACTCTCAAAAAAAACCCGATAAACCCCCTCATCGCCAAAAACCCTCCTCCACACCACGCCAGCACCCCCAGTCGCGATCGAATCAACCTTCAGCAACTCTAACAACACATCGCTCGCAAACTGCGCCGTCGCCGTCTCCTCGCCTAGGAGTAACACCCGCAGCAGCGCCTTCATCACCGCCGGCCAGGAGGCCAGCATGCCGGCCTCATTCGGGGTCTTCGCGGCCTTGTGCAGCAGCTCGAGCCCCAGCCGCTGGAACGCGGCGGCGGGCGACGACAACGTCGCCAGTATCTGCGCCTCAGACGTGATCTGTAACACCTCGGTAAACGGGACGTCGCGTAAAAGTCGCAGGATGCACTGCGCTAGCGGTGCGGCGTCCGACGTGGTCGTCTCCAGCGCGAGGATGGTGAGTGGTAAAAGACCGAGCTGCGGGCGCGTCGCGGGCGTGTCTATAGTACCGCTGGGAGTGAGTCACAGCGCGAGGGCGAGTGGGGAGTGCGAGACAAACCGGCAAGTGACGAGGTAAACGTCCGCACGAGCACGGCGTCGAGCTCGGGCGGCGGTTCTTCCGTCACGATGGCGGTGAGGTGCTGCTGCAGGCGCACGAAGAGGGCCGTGGTGGGAGGATCCATTCTGACTGAGTGCGGTGTTTGCGGAGATGATGGGGGGGTGGTGAGATTGCTTCGGTGCGGTGGTGAGATGAGGTGAGGTCGCTGGCCTATGTATGTGCGTGCGTGCGTGAGGAGCGGGAGCTATGTTTCAAGGTTACTGGAGTACATACCCCGCCAGCGCTAGTGGCGGGGCGCCGGCCGGGGGCGGGCGACGTGGGGGCCACACGTTTCAGTTTCATGTGATTCTATTTGCGCTCGACTCATCGTCACAATCATCACGATCATCACGGGAAAGTAAGTAATGAATTATTGAAGCTTCCATTGTGATCCCGTATCCAAAATTGCAAACTGCAATAGCTAGCTAGAGCAACACAACACGAACACGGCATTTCGAAGAGCACCTCGTCTCGTCAACAAGACATGTACAAACAAAAGAGAAGAAAAGAGAAAAAGAGAAAAAGAGAAAGCCAACCCAATCAGCCAACACCATAAGTGAAGCAAGCAAACAGTAACTCCGCCATCCCATCCCATCCCATCCCATTCAAATGCTCCCGACCCATCCGTCCGTTGACAACTCCCTCCTATCAAGGAGAGCAGAGCTCCCAACGGAAGCTAACAGAAAAGAAAAGAAAAGAAAAGAAAAAGAAATAAACAGACAAAGAATAGTATCAGTACTAGTAGTATCCCATCGTTGTAACTTGTAAGAGACAGCCTATCTAGCTGTCTATCCCTCCTCACACTTCAAAGCCCAAAGCCCAAATATCCACCGCTCTCCAGAGTGTTTCCCCCAAGAATCACCTAAGTCTCTTGCTAAAAACGCAGAGAAAAGTACAGAACAGGGGAAAAAAAACCAAGCCGTAGAACGTCTTTCCAATCCAGCCCAAATTTTTCTCCCCCCGCCCATCTCACATTTCCAGATGTCTCGGCGCTGCGATCCGCAAGAAAAAAAAGACTTTTTCCAGAACACAGCATTTCTGCGCCGGCATCGTAATTGCGGAAAAGTAACAATTCTGCTGTCGATGATCGTTGTTTGCCCCTCCCCCCCCTCTTCTAGTTGTAAAATGTGCCTTGCCGCCAGTAATTACCTTTTTTCGTTCAGTCCCATCTCTTCTTTGTCGCCCGATTTCATCTTTCCTTCCGGTTCTAGCGATATAGGCATCTAAGTGGTGTCCGCTCTACGTGTGGAGACGGTACATGCGACGGGCGCAATCCTCGCCGATGCTGGAGGCCTCGTCGTATTCGTCGCGGCGGCGGGGTCTATGACGACGACGCTTCTCGGGACGGATCTTGGAACCGGGCACGAAATAATCATGCTCGATTGAGGGTGTGCGGATACTCTCAGTGACGTAGACCGGCCTCTCCATATCGGCGGGGATCGGAAAGTTGCGTCCGTTCTTGATCTCGGGGAGGGTAGTAGGATCGCAGGGCTGGGTGTAAGGATACTCATACGGCTCATCCTGAGTAGGGGGATCTGGCCGCTCGGGGTGAAGAGTTTTGATGTAACGCTCGCAGCGTTCACTGAGAGAGGTCGCCGGAGCCAGAGTGTGAATGCTGTCGCCGAGAAATCTCGCCTTCGAGGGACCGAGGGGAGCAGCAGCAGGGTATGCGCGCGGCTCGGCACGAGTGATGAACTGGCGAGACTAGTGGTAGTGGTTAGCACCGCATACGGCAGGGGAGGGAGGATGCGCAAAACATACACCATGTTCCTCGACGAACTCGTCACGGCTTTCGCGCGCGCGTTCTCTCTCGCGGTCGGGATTACGCAGGATGCGTACGGGCGCCATCATTGGGCTCGGAGCCTGATACTGCGCCTTACCTCTGAAGGTGGGACGAACATCGCCGTAACGATCGTCGTAATTGCGAGCGCTACGTCCGAGATGCGATCCGTCGTATTTTGTTGCATGCGACAGACGCGGAGAGCTCTCGATGCGGTCGCTGCGGTAAACAGGGAAATCGTTGGATCTAAGATCGCGGACCTGTGCGTCGCTAAAGTTAGCTCTGTCATATTGGGCGTTGGGAGTTGGGTGCTGCGTCGACTCTGAAGGCTGCACTGCCCTACTGCCGCATGTGGAGTTGGGCATGTCGTGAGGCTGACGAAGCAAGTGCAAGGCTGGGTTCGGTTGGGGAACGGGCAACAGCCTGATAGCGACAGGAAGTGCAGAACATGCCGCGCCAACCCGGCAGCAGAAGCAGCAACAGACTATGCCAGGAGAGAGAGACGACGACGAGAGGGCAGCGTATGTAGAAGGATAGTAAATTACCTCTACACGGTGATGACCGTTTCCAGGGGCAATTCCAACATCGTAGGAGTCGCGACGCGGGACGATGGTGCGCATGTGCGGTGAAGGATGGCCGGACCGCATTGCGTCGGATGTGTATGTATTATTGTTGGTAGTGGTGGTTGTATTTCGAGGATGGGTGTGCGTGTGTGGTGGAGAAGCTGGGGTGATGGACGATTCGAGATGAGAATGTGTCGAAGGTGGTGGTGGTGAATATTGTTGAAGTTGTGCGTGTGCGGCGGCGTGTGATGTGGAGGTTGTGGGGTGGTTGCGGGAGTTGCGAGTGGCAGATGCGGTATTGATATAGCTCGGGGTATGCGCAGCCACGGTGGGACGCAGGGGGGCCTGAGCGAGGGGGGTGGTCGTAGAGGAGGGAGGAATGGCAGCAGGTGGAGGTGGCGCGATCCTGGGGGTGGTCGCGGGTGAGTGGTGGGAACCAGCAGCGGCGGCAGCCACGACCGAGACACCGGGTGTTTTGTGTGGGCGGCGACCTGGCGGGACGTAGTGGGTTTTTTCGGGACGTTTACTCATTTGTCACGGGACTCGTCTGCTTTTTTTCTTTTGTTAGACGCGACTTTGAACCGGGTGCTCCTGGGCACGGTAGTGAGCGAGTGTGCAATGTGCGTAAGTCGAGTAAGTGCGGTGGGTAGGTGGGGAGGAGTGTACGAGTGCCGTACAGCGATGGGCTGGTCAGGCTTAGAATGGGGAGGGGGGGGGCGGGCCCGCGGGTGTGGCGAATTTCAGGTTTCCGCCGCGAGTCCTTGAAGGTGTGAATAGTGCGTGCGCTTGAGGCGTGTTGGTCGCTGGTCAGGCACGGGTTCAGCAGTCGCAGGCGGGGATTTCGGAGGATGGGACAAGATATGGGGCAAGGTCTGCAGGCTGATCGCGGGTGGGGTCGAGGATTGGGGGGCCTCTGGGGCTACCGAGTTGCGTGTGAGTAGAGCAAAGCTACAGCGGGGGGAGGGGGGAGGATGGTTGGCCGATTGAGGGCCGTTGCTGGAGTGTAATTGGAGCGATGATGGTGTTGGTGTCGTGTGGATGAGTGGGGTGGTGCGGGTGGACGTGAGTGGTGGATGGTGAACAGTGGACTGGAAGGGGGAGGGGTGAGCGAGTGGTTGGTGGTTTGGGGTGGAATCGTTACTGGACGGGACGATGCTCTGACCAGTGACGGAGTGATTGGTCGGTCCGTACACAGCAGTGTCCTCCGCCGACGAGCTCAAGTCTCTGCTGGTTGGTTCGCGCTGGTTCGAAGTCTTGGAGTTATTTTTCTTCTTCTTTCTCTTCGGTGAGGACGACGACCGGAGTCAGACAGACAGACAGGCAACAGGGACCCGGAGAAGGAGCGACAGGAACAGCACAGAACGGAACAGGGACGAGAACAGGGACAGCACGACCGACAGACAAGACAGCAGTGCGTGACGGGAGCGCGGTTGATCGGCACAATTGATCGCAGCGATGGGTGGAACAGCATGGTGGGGGTGGGTGGGGGGTGGATATGGATGGGGCAGGAGGACAAAGTGCTGGGATGCATGCCGCTTTCGTGCTGAGCGGGCGGGCGGCGGCGATGGAGCGGGCACTGGACGGACGCAGGCAGCACGGCACCGCAGCTCGCTTGCACGGTCGCAGTCTCCATTCGAGCCGACGATGCCGATCGGAACAAGCTGAAGATCTATGTATGTGCTCTACCTCCTGTGGAAGGGGTCTGTAGCGTAGCTACTCTATACAGGCAGTGCTATAGAGTGGAAGCAAAAGCGCGCGAAACATCCACTCACCGTCGACGTCCAGCTGCACTCCTCACAGCTCACACGAACGAATCACATCCACCCAGGTACCACATCGTCGTTCGCCAACCATCTGCGATCTCGGAATGGCACACGCCAATAATAACCACCGCAGATTTCCTCACAGGCTCACCTTACTCACGCTCCGCTCCCTGCGCCCGCTGGCAATCAATCGATGCGCCCCACTCCAACTGTGTATCACATCACACCTACCATACCTATCCTACCTGTCCCACCTATCCTGCCTCCATCAACCTCTCCACTCTGGTTTACTCATCCTGACATCGGCTCGCACGAAAAATATATTCCCGCGATAGATTGAAAGCGAAAACAAGCAAAACCTGCAGACGGAGGCACGGAGGGAGAGGCTGACAGCGACAGAAAACGTCGCTGCTTGGACTTGCTGCTCGAGCTGCCTTGATGCGGAGACGGACTGCTCTAAGCAGTGTAATAGAGCGCCGCACCTCACTAGAGTAACTAGAGTACTCTACTCACTCTGCACCCGCGCACCGAGCACACGGACTCTCCCCCATCCCCCCGCCCCCCGCCCGTTCTCTCCCGTATGCACCTACTGCACTGCATCCCCACACTCCTCCCCCTCCCTCTCTCTGACTGTCTGCGGCTTACCGTCCTCGCCGTCCCGCGTTACAGCAAAGTTACATCTGATGGAGCGATAGCTATCATAGTCCTCACTAGTACTTGTCAAGGGGTCGGGCCCGGGTTCCCGCCTGCCTACCTGCCTGCCTCCCGGATCCCTCCCACTCCCTGCACCACAGTAACAGTTACCAAGAAACCGTCTCACCTGCCCTGCCTGCCCTGCCTGCCCTGCCTGCCCTGCCTGCCCTCAGTGCCCTGCCCTGGCTCCGTTCCGTTCCCTCCCCGGGATTCCCGATATATGTATATGCGCGCGTGGGTCTAGAGGGGAGTCCCCCCCCCCCGAGGTGGATACAGCGCATCTGTTGACATCACATCGTAGCCACATCCCCCCCCCCCCGTCCCTCCCAATCGTGGCGGTCGCTGGGCGGTGGGTGTTTGTCTTTCTTCTTCATCTTTCTCCTCCCTACTAGTGCCGTGGAGTAGAGTAGAGTAGAGTGCCTATTCTATTCAGTTCAGAAACAAGTCCATTCATAGCATTCATAGCACGCCAGTGTTTCGTCAACCACCCCGACACTTTTCCCGACACTTTTCCCGCCGACCAACCGACCGACCGACCGACCGACCATTGCGACCAGTAATCGCGCAGCAACGAAGACATTTATTTTCTATGCAGGTTATGTTTCTCGCGTAGGCAGTGCAAACACCTCAGGCTGCTGGATATGTAGAGAACCTAGGGTACCTAGGGTATGTAGGTAGGGTGGATGTATGAGCCACTGAGCCATTGAGCCAGCCTGCCTACCAGGTGCCTACCTTTTGGCCAACGCCTTGCGCCGACGCCGACGATTTTTTTTGTAAGGCTGACGATCGTTACTTGGCGGACGTTGAGATACATACTCTACTCTAGATACTATGATGTAGGTACTTTTTATAGTAGTGATGTGATACATATGATACATGAAGCGGATACGTGGGCGATTCCCGGGTGGAGTGACAACGAAGCTGCCGGTCCGATGATGATGATGATGATGATGATGATGATGATGATGATGATGATGATGGTGATGGGGGTTGGTTGTGTAGATGATGTAGATGGGGGGGAATGCTGCGAGTCTGCGAGTCTGCGACCGGTGGATAGTAGATATCATCATCGTTGAATTACTTATGGTTGGAATGTTGAGAGAGCGAGTGAGGGGTGGAGGGCTACTGACTTCGTCTTTTGAGACTTCGTCTGTTGGATTGTCTCTGGCTGAAGCCTTGAACGGAGGGCGTGCGGGAGGGCTCCCGCTTCGTCTATTGAAGCAGCCTGGCTGAAGCCTTCCTGCGAGCCAGCAAGGCTCCATGCCGATATCGAAATATGATTGCGAGCCTCGTTGCGTGCATGCCCTTGGTCATGCGGATTGCTTACTCATCCAGCTTATCAGCTCTTAGAATGCAAAGCTCTCGTTACCTGTGTCATCCCCCCACCCCCGCCATCGTCTCCAACCCAGCCTCTCAGCACAGAGCTCCCTTCCACGCACCTTCCCCCTAACCCGCAACCCAACCAACCACACGAACCCCGCGAAGAAGAAAGAAAGAAAGAAAGCAAAGAAGCTTCCAACTATCCTCATCATCGCCCACAACTCCCCCCCGCCCAAGCCGTAGAACAACCGATAACCCTTCCGACCAGTATCTTCCCCGTCCCCGCCGCGAGCAAAGCTCTATAGCTCCACACCTAGCTCCTCAACCCATGATGCTGCACTCGACGTTCTCCCGCCTGCGCGACTACCTGACGCCGGCGTCGCACACGTCCACGTTCGCGTCGACGGGCGAGATCACGCCCGAGGAGTTCGTGCAAGCGGGCGACTACCTAGTGTACAAGTTCCCAACGTGGGCGTGGGCAGCTGCGCACCCCTCGAAGCGCGTCAGCTACCTCCCGGACGAGAAACAGTATCTAGTGCTGAAGCACGCGCCGTGCCGCACGCGCCTCGACGATAACTTCTCGACCTGGAACCCGGGCGATGAGGAGGGGTGGGATGGAGGCGTTGCTGCTGCGGGAGGCGACGAGGCGCACAAGGCAAGGCCGATAGAGCGCGTGCAGAGCGTGGGCGACAGTGGCGATGTCGAGGACGAGAGCGACGATGAGATCCCAGATATGGACGATGAGGAGGATGACGACGAGGCGATCATCCGCGATACGGCCAGGAAGGGGAAGGGTGCGAAGACGCCGATGAGGTACTATAACCTCTATCTTACCTACTCGACGTACTTCAAGGTCCCAAGACTGTTCATCTCCGGCTTCGATGGCGCTACCAATATCCCCCTGCATCCGCCCACCGTCATGTTTGAGGATATCTCGTCGGATTATAGCCAGAAGACCGTCACTATCGAGCCCTTCCCCTGCCTCGAGACCCCATTGCAGATGGCTTCGGTTCATCCTTGCAAACACGCTGAGACGATGAAGCGCATCTTTGACGGCATGGCGAGCAGGAAGGCGCGGAGGGATGCTGCGGCTACTGAAGACGCGCTGCCGGCGGACGAGACCGCCACTACCACCGCCGCTACCACCACTATCGAGACCTCCGCCGCCGCCATCGAGCCCACCACCACCGCTGCCACCGCTGCCACCACTACCCCTAAGGAGACAGAAGAGTGGGAGCAGGTTGGTGCGGAGGAAGATGATGGCGGACTCAGGGTCGACCAGTACCTGGTCGTCTTCGTCAAGTTCATGGCCGGTGTTATGCCCGGTGTAGAGATGGACTATACGATGGGCATCTAAGTGGGGTGACAGATGAGGGAGGGTGTGAGGAGGGAGGAAATTGACGTGTCAAGCTCCCGACCGCGTGTATGGGTTCGTTCTATCTAGACAAGGCTTGTTTGCTAGGCTCACTTTTATTTTATTATTTCTATCCACTTCTATTGCCTGCTTTCTTTCTTTCTTTCTTTCTTTCTTTCTTTCTTTCTTTCTTTCTTTCTTTCTTTCTTTCTTTCTTTCATTGCTTCTGCTTCTGCTTCTGCTTCTGCTCTTTTCGTACACGGAGTGCTAGGTGCTTTCCTCGCGCATGCATGTTAGGTAGCTTTGGGGGGGAGGGGGGGGGGGGGGGGGGGGTCCTGTCTGTCTGTCTGTCTGGTCTGTGTTTCTTTCTGTTCTGTTCCCGAGCTAGGTACCGGTATTGATGTAGTTATTTACTTTGCGAAATTATTTGGAGACCCATCTCTTCTGTTGCTTCCTCCCGACGTGCGGCGGGATGATCGTCGTCTATACAGGTGCGGGATGACGGTGATGACATGATCGTCGCGGAACTACTCCGTAACTCTGCTAGTATATAGTGGAGTGAGCGGTTAATTTCGTGGACTGGACTGATCGGTGATGGATGCGTGTGCTGGACGAACTGCTGTGCTGGCTGGACTGGCGGACTGCTTGGACTGGCGGACTGCTTGAACTGCCTCGACTGGATGGTTGGACTGGATGGACTGACTGGACTGGAATAGGATTTGCACGGTGATGCTGGGATGGTAACTATGGTATTGCGGGGATGGTGTTGCGGTGGCTGGCTGGCGGCGGGTGAATGGGCGGGGCGGGAATGTGCTGGCGGCCTTCTGCCCAGTGGGGGTTTTTGCTAGTATCGATGGTAGTATGGTAGTGGGAAGTGAGATATGATGTTTGCGGTTCTGCAGGTTTGAGAGAGAGAACATCAATTATTATCGCATGCAGCCTTACTAGACTACCTGTGGCAACCACCAACTTCGCAACCATTCCTGCTAGCTCGGCGGGGATGAGAGAGAGTTCTACCACCACGGCCCGATGCTGCGCCGCCGCCTATATACCAACCAATTTTTACAAAGGAAAATCACACTCATTATCCACACACTCGTTAACCGCACCCTCCGCACACGCAGTACCTGCCTGCCGGGCACTCCTGTTCCGCCCCAGATTCGTCGATCCCCTCCCCGTATTCTGCTGGTTTGATCTGATATATAGAGTACAGTGGGAGTTGGGAATCTACTGTAAAGGCTGGCACGGGTACTAGTAACCAGGTATATAGTATGTTGGAGGAGACAGGGCTCGTTCAGTTCCAGCCTTACTTGCTCAGCCGAGCTCGAAACCAGAGCGCTAAGTCACGTGCACGGAGCCGCACTATGCCAGCTAGCGTACTCTAGTTAGTTAGCCAGGACCTCAAGCTCCCCACCTCCCTCACCTCCAAGCTCCCCACCGCACCTTGCTCACATTCCCACCACCGCCCCACCACCACCACCATGACCACCACCACCCCCGCCACCTCTCCGCTTGTATCCTCACACGCCTCCACGTCAGGCCTCCAAATCGCGCTGCACCCGTTAGCACTACTCACAATCTCGGACTACATAACGCGCCACACGCTGCGGCAGCAGTCGGGGCCTGTCGTGGGCGCGCTCATGGGCTCGCAGAGCGGCCGCGAGATCGCCATAGAATACGCCTTCGAATTCATGGCGTCTGTTGACGACGACGGGAATGTCATCGTCGATAAACAGTGGTTTGAGACGAAGTTGCAGCTGTGTGAGTACCTGTGAGGGGGGGTCTGGGGCGGGGAGTGCTGATTAGAGGGCGGGGATAGTCAAGGAGACACACCCCACATCAGACCTGATAGGCTGGTACACGTCGAGCTCGTCGCTGCTGTTCCATCCGCAGGCGGCGCACGTGCCGGTGCACCAGGACCTGCTGAAGTACAACGAGTCGCTGATTCTGCTTTTGCTCAACCCGTCGCCAGCGGCGGCGCTCAGCGGTGGTGGGAAGCTCCCCGTCGCGATTTACGAGAGCATCTATGAGGCCGCAGAGGACGAGAATAAGCTCGGTCTCAAGTTTGTCCCGCTGCCGTATACCATCGAGAGCGCCGAGGCGGAGATGATCGCTATGGATTTTGTCGCGAAGGGTGCTGGGAATGCTAGCTCCGTTCCGCCGGCGGAAGCGACGGCGGGCAAGGGCAACGGCAATGGCAAGGGCAAGGGTAAGGAGGAGGTGATGGTGAAGATGAAGGTGAAGGAGGGGGCGTCGGGGTCCGGATCGGGATCGGGCGCGGTGGAGAAAGTGGACGTGGTGGAGAAAGTGGACGTGGGCACAGCCAACGACGAGCTCCTGTCGGGGCTCATGGCGAAGAAGAACGCGATCGTCATGCTCAACGCACGGATCAAGCTGCTACTATCGTACCTGCAGAACCCACCGAACGGCGTGCCGAACCACCAGATCCTCCGCGAGATCAAGTCGCTCACCCACTCCCGCCTCCCCCTACTCAAGCCCGCAAACGAGAAGGCGTTCATGTCAGAAAAGATCGCCGAGGAGTCGGACGTAAACTTGGTCGTCCTGCTCGGCGCCGTCACCAGGTGCATCGAGGACGTGAGGGGCGTCGGCCGTAAGAGTGCCGGAATCGAACATATCGTCAAGACCGGAAGCAAAAAGTCTGCGTTCGATGATGACCTGGAGTTTACGGGAATTGGAACGCCAGGTGGTCCTGGTAGGAGAGTCACGAGGGGCATGGGTGTGTTTGGTTTCTAGCGCGCAAGGTACACATGGGATACGGATTACGTATGATGCGAATGGGTTCTGGTTTTTTTCTTCTCGAGATCATGATGCGTGATGGGTGATTGCGTATGAATAAAAAACGAATTTATTGAGTGATGTTGTTCGTTCTTGGGGACTTGACTGGTGCCCTGCTGGGTGGTTATTGCGCGGTCCTAGTTGTGACGTTTTGGATTGTTTTTCTCCTTGATCCGAGGTTTGATGATTGTCCTCACTGACAGTGCTTTTTCCGATAATATTCGGGACCTTTCGTCCAACCGAGTTGATTCTGACGAACACGGGAGAATCCAGTGAACAGATGATATTGGGAGATCGGGGAAGCGAGTGTCTTGACTCTTGAGTGACGGTTGGAGGAGCTTGCACATTCATGTTCGATAATTGCTGGTGAAATGTATTGGAAGATGCAGGTACATACATAGGTGCGAGTTTGTTCCATACCCAGGCCTGGTTGGTTGGTTGATCTGCTAAAGAAGGACTCAGGAGAAGAGACAGGCTCGCACTCGGGGCAGTTTGATGATTGATCCCTCGAATCCTCAATTGGTTTCGATGCCGATGCCGATGACGACGAGCGCCGTTTCGGAACTACTGGAAGTTTGCCTGTTGAAACGGTGCAATGGCTGGTGATGTGAAGGTGTCTGGAGAAGTGTGAGGGCCCGGGGGAGAGAGTCTCATTGGGGATAGCAGCTTTCCTCATGGCAACTGTCAATTAGGGGCCGGTGGATGGACGGAAGTCTGATGGATTGGCCGGAGGTTTGCGGCTACAGGATGGGTGGGTGGAATACTAGCTCACGGCTTGGGGGGAACCGGCGGGGAAGGAAGTGACGAAAGTGAAGGAAGTGACTGCTACGGCTTGGAATATTCCAGGCGGCAAGTTCGAGAAGAAAGGCTACTACTATAGCTATACGAAAGATCGGGTTCGGTGCCGAGTGGGAACTTGGAAGAATATCGGCCCCCGCCTTCCTCTCACCAGATCACTCGTCTGTCTCTAAATTGGGGTTACCGATTTGTTTGGAACATGGGTGGAAGTTGCTTCTCGCTGGATGCTCCGGAATCTTAGACTGTAGTGATGGATGGATGGACCGGTGGAATAGACTGGAGTGATTGAATCTTTGATACTTTGCACACTGACTCGCTCATGTAGGGATCGTGGAGATGCAGAATCCGCGGCTTTGGTGGATTACTGCAGTTTGACATCTCCTAGTTACCTAGCCGTTGGAATGAACAGCCACTCACTATACATGAGACCGAGTCTGATGCCTCATGGGAGCTATCGATATCTACCTTCCATCCACACAGTCAATCGATTTCAAGCGAGGAGCAACCTCGTTCAGGGTTGATATACTGTATGCAGCAGGCATCTGAAACCGATTCAGACTCCTCACGGGAAGGGCTTGCATGGGCGGTCGACATCTTCCCCTTGATCTAGCCAGTGAACATTCTTCTCGAAGGCGGTCATACAGACATGAGCTGGCTGTTTGCTCTTCACCTTCCTTCACTGGTTTTACACTTGCATCTGGACTGATGGATTCTGCACAGGAATGTTACCGTCACACCCAGCTAGGCAGGTTGCAACTCTAGAGCTCAAGCTCGAGGTTTGCGTTCCACAGGACGATGCGGATCTCAGGCAGTGTCCCAGTCCTCCTTCTTTCCCCACCCTTCCAGCAGAAGCGAGAGAGGAAGTAGAAGTGATTACCTATATAACCCTGCTTGTCTCGACTATTCTCTCCGCATACTTCTCTCCTCCTTCTTTGAACGGACACTTACCCAACTCCCCATCCTGCGCCTTTCGCCTCCTCTATGCAAACAAGAGCAAGGTCTCAACAGTCCCAGTCCTATCCTTTGAAAGTCGTACCCAACGCTATTCTACCCGACATCGTCATGACCGACGTCGCTGCAGCACCCGCAACTGCTGGCACAGAGGATACCACTCCCTCGGACATTCCCACCTCCAGCCCAACTTCGTCCTCTCTGTCATCGCAGGAAACAGTTTCCCCCAACACCACCATGATATCAGACGAGGAAGAGGGGGAACCGCCGTCTTCACCGTTGACGGAGATTGATGTGCCTCTCCTTCTGCATTTCTCCGCCGAGGGTGACTAACAGCAAGCAGGAATCCCCTTCCAAGCCCGTGCGCGGCAAAGTGCCCAAAACGAAAGTGCGTGGGGGAAACTGTGAGGATGATGAAGTTGGGGTACATGAAGTACTATCTCCTCGTGCCCCTCTCGCTGTTACGAAGTACTGACATAAAACATAGGAGAAATCAATGCCCAAGCGTGGCCGCGGTAAAGCGGCGGCAAAGACAAGGGGTGGGGAAGATGGTGAAGCCGAGGGAGTTAAGATGCCTCTTCCCATGCCCCCAACCACGTTACGCTAAATACGCTGACATGAAACATAGGAGAAGCCCACAGTTACCCCTAAACGTGGCCGTGGCAAGAAGGCTGGTGACGGGTCGCCCACTACGCCCGCCAAACGTGGACGAAAAAAGGCCGAACCAGCGGTAGACGAGGACGGCGAACCCGTCACCAAAAAGCGCAAGGTACCCATATACTCAGCCCATACCCATCGTGACTCATGAGTGATGTTGACACCCCCAGAAGGCGCCGACCAAGTCCCAACAAGCGGCCCTAGTATCCGCTGATGCGGCGGAAGCATCCGGCGCCCGCTCCTCGCCATCGCGCTCCTCGTCAGCCACGACCTCCCCCCCGACAAAGTCTTCGACGGCAATGACCCGCGAGGAGTGCGGTTACATATTCGACTCCATGATCGATATCGGGAAGTGGAACGACTGGACGAAGGATCTGAACAGCAAGAATGGTACCGATAGGCAAACGTCAAGCGTCAAGCGCCACTGGAAAACTTTTGTGCGCGGCGCGGTCATGAAGCTTTATAAAGATTAGATTGGAGCGCGGAGGGGTGGAGGGGGGGGGGGGGTTGTTCGAGGGCGGGATGTTGGGGGTGGATATATGGGATGGGATGCGATGTTACAGAGTATTCTTTCGGTACTGGGGGGTATTCTCTGTATTCTACTTATGTAGGTTTATTATCTGGTTACTTGGCTACTCCTGGGTCGGTGTGCGAATCCATATGTCTCCTGGGTAACTGCGTTCTTTCCGTCCCGTAGCGATTCCAGAATACATGTTGAAGAAAGCAGTATCCAGCAGTATCCAGCAGTTTCGTGGTGTAGCAAGTTATCACTTGTAAGATGTGTCCAACACAAACAAGATCACCAGCTCACCAGGTCGAGCCTGGGTGAAATCATAGCCTCTTCTTCTCTTCCATTTGATCTTGCTCCTTGCGTTTGGGAAGTGGGAAGTAGGCATGCGAAGGTTGGAACTTGGTGACGGAGACAAGTGATAAGTCATCCGCAACGATCGCATTTTTCTTTTTCGAAGGGAGGCGGTGGACAGGTTACCTATCAATCAATCATACACAGCCATCGCTCAAGTTTCCAGCTTCCAAGTTTCCTAGGCCGCGAATGTAGCCTCCTCCACCATCTGAAGACCGTGCGTGCGTGTGTGAGATGGGAGGAAGCGCTGGTGCTAGGGAACTGCGGCTGATGCTAGAGTTGGTGATTTATGGAGGATTTGGAGGATTTGGAGTTTATACTATGAGACTGGCGTGAGGGTGTATCAGTATAGTATCGTGAAGCCCCATTCTAGCTAGTATCGCCATTCATATCCAGACGTATTCACCTAGAATGGTCATTCATGTCCGCAGGCCTATCCACAGACCTGTTCACCTTAACATCGACATTCATATTCCGTAGGCATAGGCTACCCATCCCAGCATCGCCGTTCATGTTCACAGACCTCTCCACCTAGCATCGCTATTCATACATATCCACCCCAAAATCCCCATTCGCTATCTGCAGGCGTATTCAGCCGGTCCATATCCTCTCGGATACCTATCGCAAAACGAATGACGTGACCGCCCACTGCACGGGGGCAAAATTTGCAGTTCCGTTACGGGGAATTGAACCCCGGTCTGGCCGGATTAATACTCTAATTGAGAGCGGCCGATGCTAGCCACTACACCATAACGGATGTGATCATGTCCTTGATGGATACTACCGCCTATGATGTGAAGTACTAATGTATGGGCGGCATACTTCACTAGTCTTTTCAGTAGCTAGTCTACACTCTAGTTAGCCTAGATGGACGCATACGGCGGCTGGCAATTGACGCTCAGTAGAGTAGCCTACATAGCGCCGGCCTTGCCCTGGCGATCGCTTCATCACTCTGTTTCAGTAAGTACAGCGAAATCTAGTAACATTTAAATTGTGTACATTTTCACCCGTCACCTGGTGAGTCCCCGCTTTCCTCCGCGTCCCACCAAATCTAGGCAGATAACATGTTCCTGACCGGAGCCCTTTGCTATAGTAGCAAAGGATCATCTAACTGCAAGTTCAAGAGACATTGCTGCTCCCAAACTACCATATCCAGCAATTTCTCCAACTTTTCCTCCATCATACGCATAAGTGATTACCTCCTTCAAAACGCACACTCAATGGCCGCACATGCAACATCTCCACATCCCAACCCATATTCGACGTTAATTCGCTCCCCCTTCTTTGAGCATTAACAACATCTCCACTTATCGACCCATACTCCACCATTATCTTTTCGCCCTTTTTCGAGCATTGCGGGTTCTCGCCTTCCGATATCCGATATCTCCGTAAAAATTGTTTTTCGATAACAGTCCGACTCAAACAACATCTCCACATATCGACCCATAGTCGACGTTGATTTTTTCCCCCTTCCTCGAGCATTAACAACATGCCCAATCGCCACACTAATGCAAGCACCAATAAGAAAACTCTCTCAACATTCCCCTCTGCAATGTTTGCATGAACAATGCAATGAACACATAGAATCCAAGTGTTGGATTGATTCGGTTCGCGGCGTTCACGATAGTGATGTTGCCGTGAAAACCAATCGGATTTGGCTCTTCAAGCTGCTGCCAAACGGCACGATCGTGAGTGGTGTCGCCGGCTTCGGTCTTGTTGTGAAAGATTCGAGATTCCGAGGTGTAGCGCTTGGTGGTTACGGTGTAGCCTTCAGGTAGTTCGCTCAAGGGATCGCACGCCCCCCATACGGTAGGCAGTATGGGACGAGCTAGTTGACCGCAAGTGACGATTTGGGCCGTCCGTATCGGCGGCCTAGAATTACCTCAGCGTCAGTAAGTATCCAATATCAATGTAGAGTAGGTATTGGTGACTCACTGGAGCAGTTGGCTATTGTGGCTCATTAGCTGTACTGATACTGCCAACGGTAGTATATGAGCTGCTCAGGCGCTTCTTTCGAATCTTAAAATCAATCAGTGTGATCGTGCTTAGAAGCGTAGGAGAAGTGACGACTAACCGAAGTGGCAGCCAGCTCGACCGCCGCTCAGCGTAGTATGTTTCGCGGGTCAAGCTTTCGGTGTATGCATATCGCCCACTTCGCAGATTGGGTGATAAGGGTTGGAAATTCGTCATTCACCTAACGAGTGACTTGGTGGAGGGAAGAAAGCGGAGCGAAACGGAGGCCCGAGGGCCTGACGAGGAGAGAGCGTGGTAAAAGTGGAGCCAGAACATACGGCAGGTGCGTAGTAAAGCGGGTTCCACCTTGGACGAGTAGAATGCCGCCGAGGTCTGAGAGTGAAATGGAGGGTGAGTGAGGTGAGTGAGGTGAGAGAGGTGAGAGAGGTGGGTGAGGAGGTCGGTGAGAAAGGAGGATGCAGAAGGAGAGTGCAGAAGGAGAGTGATGAATGATTGTGAGGAGGTTGGTGTAGAAGAAGGATGCAGAATGAGGGTGCAGAAGGGCGTTAAGAAGGAGAGTGAAGAAGGATAGTGATGAATGAGGGTGAGGTGGTGGGTGAGGAAGGAGAGTGCAGAAGGAGAGTGCAGAAGGAGAGTGCAGAAGGAGAGTGCAGAAGGAGAGTGCAGAAGGAGAGTGAAGAAGCAGAGTGAAGAAGCAGAGTGAAGACGGAAAGAGAGGACGAAAGGTGAGCATGGGGGGTTGGAAGACTATTTATAGCCGGGTGGATGGAGCATCGAAGAAGAGGGAAACGAGATGTAAGAAACCGACTCGTATCACCGTTGGCTGCCCCGGCTGACCCTAGAAACAGGTGGGCCCACACCAGATCGAAGTCGAAACTCGAGCAGGCGTTGCAAGCCCTGCTGTAGGCTACGTTGAAGAGCGATGAGCTCGATATGATGCGATATCCACCAGTCTCGAAGCTCTTGTCTAGATCGGACGACAGGCAAACATACATGCATGCGACAAGTTAGACCAGACAGACACACTCCTGACAGCGACGATGGATCGATGCATGCGCTTCTATCTGATTAGCAGGCAAACACATCGCTGCCACACTCTCACACGACGTTGAAGAGGCCACAGCAAGAGCACAGAGACCTCCCTTGTCGCCATGCCTGAGTTGCGCTCTTTTCCAACCCCTCCTCGAAAATACGATCGATGAGCTGTGACGTATGTGCTCTGTTCAGACAAACAAGGTTGCCTCTAACATGCTGGGCTTGCTCGGACCGAATAGCACATCCTGACAGAAGCAGGACCATGCGTACGATTTATTTTTATTTTTCCCACTTTGCAGTTTCTCTTGGTGAAGCCGTGTTTAGTGTTCATCGACAGTTTCCGATCTCAAATCGCCACTTACTACCTAAAAGCCCTCAAGTTCGAATAATATTCTGGCGAAGTCGCCCACCCAGCAAATTTCATCATACCCACATTCATAGTATATCCTACTCGGTACTTATCTCGAGCCTCACCGAATATCATTCGGTACGGTGCCGTATGATCATTCATGTAGTCTCGCTCGGACTCTACGGGCTCTGTTCCTGCAGGATTGAGAAGTCATAACGAACTAGACTTGCTCAGAGATCCTGTGTGAGGTGTAGATGCATTCCGAAGAGTCCTGCGGAGAACGGCTGGTTTTTCACCACTGGCGAGTATGAGGACTCCCAGCGCTAATGTGTGAAAATAAAATAAAAATAAAAATTGGAAAATTAAAAATGGAAACTTTCAGCAAAGTGATGGGATCCTTGGGTCACCAAGGTGATTGTCTTAGAGGTGCTGCCTAGAGGGAGGCCGACAGTTGCGGCAATTGCAAACAAGTGCTCGATCGAGAGGACATGATGTTTGTTTGCTCGATCAGGATAGCTGACCCCCTGCTGAGCTGTCATTGCTGCATTGCTCCCCTTCATTTTTGTGCCTGCGAGGGTGTTGAAGCAGGTATATAAAGCCAGCCCCTCCCCTGTGCTTTCGTTCCTCTTTCTCTTTTTTTCTCCATGATTCAATTCCAACAATAAAAAGCCCTGCCCTCCATCACTGCACTTCCTATCCACCATCATCTCATCACTCTTTCTCTTTCCCTCCTCTTCCGACTAGCCCTCGGTTGCACCTTCCCCCAGAGATTCAATCTCTCGATCTCACTTTTTCTGGTTGCTTTTAGAGAGGAGGAACTTTGTGCAGCATGCTCGACTGCAAGTGGCGAATACTCGCAGAAAGGAGGGGGGGAAGGAAGGAGCTGCTGAGACAATGTAACATCGTGATGTTAAGAATTCAAATAATTCAAATTTCTGCTGAATATCATCTTCGTAATTCGGCCGTACACTAGTTCATCACCGCATCTATACTCGGATCAACCAGCCAACACGTGGCGGGGACCCAGAGCATAATACGCAGTAAGTAAAACAAGCTTCTCTCGTAGGCGGGGGAATGATGTCACTGCCACTGAAACCAACGGGTTCATATGACATTCGCTATGAAGACGAGGTAAGTGTGAAGAGCAGCCTCGTGGCACCCTTCGTTGCAACTACCACGACACGTCGGGACTCGCAGTGACCACTGGCCTTGCGGCTGGTTTTTTTTAGGCACCGCAGCAGCTCAGCTACGGTATGGACTGGAATCAGCCACAGTCAGTCAGCCACATTCAACTACGGAAAACTAGCACGCGTGCACCTACTGCCAGAAGAAAAAGAAATAATCGCGAACCAACCCCTCCAGTGAAGGAGAGCCCTTCCGTTCCCTCCGTCCCCTCCGTCCCCGTCAAGTCGAAAACTTAGGAACAAGAAGGAGGCTCAATGCCTCAAAGCCTCTAGCTCGCGCTCTTAGTTACCCAACAACAAGAAACGGAAATATTTCGATGATGCGGGATCACTATATCGAAGATCTAAGTAGGTACTTACTAGTAAGTCTGTCGTAGCCCGAGGGGCGATACGATGCCGGATCATCCTTTTCCTCATCGCCTTGTTGCACACGGCATTCATGCGCATGCGCGTACTATCACTCGGTTTCGGATGATGACGTTACGACGGGTTATCTAAGTCTTACGTTTTGGATCATCTGTAGTTAAGTTAGTGGTGTACTCTACCGAGATTCAGAGTCCTGTCGAATAAATACATTTCTTTTTTGCTTGCTGCCGTGAGTAGGTAGTGCATCATTGTACGGTATTCTTCATCACCGGTGCTGTGTTATCATATGGAGAGCAAATCGTACAGAATCGTAAATATCGCAGTGTACATTCCGGTGGACAAGTGTCCACCCATTAAAATTTACAGCGTGAAATCGATCCACCTCCCTAACGAATATACAGTAAAAAGACAACGTCATCAAGACCAAACTTCAGAAGCAAGCAATGAACCACGAATACCCCACACCTAAGCCAAAGACTAAAACCTCTGCGCACGATGCCACTTCTCCTCCCAGCCCTTAAACATCGGATACTCCTCGAGGGTGCCCACCTCCCAATCCTTGGGCGCAAGCCCATTCCGCACCTGCTCCTCGGCCCACTCGCGCAGCGCCGGCTTCACCACGTGTTCCACGTGCCAGGTACTCTTGTACTCCATGAGGCTCTTCTTCCCCTTCTCAAGGATCTCGAGGACGAGGGCGGGGATGCACGGCTCGTCTGCAAACTCCGTGATGGGCGTGAAGAGGGCCTTGAAGTTGAACACTATTGCGCCGCTGAGTGGGAGGCGCCGCAGTGTCTGCCAGTCTACGCGCAGGCGGACGTCCTCCAGTTTTAGCAAGGGGAGCTGCAGGTTCCGGAACCTGGCGTGTGGGTCGTCAGGTGGCATATATAGTGGCTCCTTGTACTCGAGGCCCCATGAGCCCCGCTGGATGGGCATGTTTGTCGGCATCTTGCTGAAGTAACTATACGTGATGTTGTAAGCACACTGGTTTTCTTCATGTATTTAGTCTACGGGGGGATGGGCACGAACCGGTCCATCGACTTCGACATCTTCTCCTCGTAATCCGGAATCGGCTGATGAATCTCCTGTAGAGTTTTCCCAATCTTCGAAGCGACGTTCCAGCCCAGACTGCTGCAGATGATGCCGGCGTGGAACTCGTACGCACCCGTCTCCTCGTTCTTGATCGTGATGGCAAAGTCCTCGGGCACGTTCGTGAGCAGCACCACCAGCGGATGCATCTCGCGGATCCTGAACCTGCGGCCTAGGATCTGGTTGACGAAGGATTCCGTGTCTTCGCCGGCAGGGTACTTGAGGGCGAAATACTGCGGGTACCGTGCGACAAGGAACTGCAGCACCATCTCCATCAGCTCGGTGCATGCCGCCTCGGCGCCCGGGAGACATTGGAGGACGTCTTCGCCGTGGCGGTTGTAGAGCTCTATTCGCTGAGCGATGCGGCGGCTGTAGGTGTTTTCGAGCTCTAGCCACCAGTCGGGCTCCATCTTCTTGAACGCTGTTGGAGTTAGTATATTTTGCAAACGTAGAAGTGATGGTGGTGGGGGAACGAACACATGGTCTGGTGGTACGCCCACCGGAACGGTCGGTACGGTCTCGCCCGGGCCTTCGATATATCAAATTCCTCGTACGGCTTCGGCAACAGCACACCGCTGAGCGCAGCGTAATCCGGGAATCGTCCATACGCTGCGATCTCCGCATCGGTACGGGTTGTGTTGGGGAGGTACCGTCCGGGCGTAGCACCTGCCGGCGATGATGGCGGCGGCAAGGCAACCGTAGAACCTCGACGTACGGAAAGGATGCTGGTCAGGATCCCGGCGATCTTGGATGGTGCGTCTGCCGAGTGCTGGTGCTCAGGCCGAGGCTTCTGGGATGTGTCAGGCGACACCGAGCGGAGGGGTGTGGCAGCCGAGTTTCGGGTGTGTAGGGTGCGGAGGGGTAGCAGTAGTAGTAAGACGGCTGCTATGGTGATCAGGATGCTGCCGACCGTGAGGTAGACGGGTGATACGTAGAGTGTCAAGTATACGTTCGTCGTCATTGCTGGGATCATGGCGAAGCTGTAGGATGGGAGTTGACTCGGCGGATAGCTGCTCTGTTTGATGATGATCGAAGCAAGAAGCCAGCAGACAGGTGGATCGGTGTAGAGACCACGTGGGGAGGAGGAAAGCTGCTGTGTTAAACTATAAAGCACTCTGAGGAGATAGCCCGTCCGCCACAGAAAGCAGAGCTTGAGGGCCGGGCTTTTCTATTTTGTCGATGGAAGACTGCGTGGAACGGCTCGCTGCTAGCATTCAATGTAGCGAGATCGAAAGCTTCGACAGCGGCCTTGCCGTAGCTGTATCGTATCGCGGGGAATGATTTCCGGAACCGAAGCAACCGTGGGAGTTGGTAATGTCGGAAGAAGTAGATGTTTACGGAGATGGCAGGTTGAAGGGTATGTGATAAAGATGGTTATGATGGAGGTGATGGTGATGGTGGCTGTCGTGCTGAGCGGGCAGACAACTATGTGCTTGGTCGTGGGATGCTTCGATAGGTACCCTGCTTGCGAATGCTGTTCCGGGGGGTCTGTCTGAATGCTCGAAGGCCACCGGGGAGCAGGAGGAGGAGGAGGATGCGAATCGAAGTATCGACGGTCGACGGTCGATATGTGTAGGGGATCGCACGGACACGGCTCGAATAAATGGCGAAGATCAGGGCGGAAAGAAAAAGAAAAGAAAAAAGCAAATAGGGAACAACAGGCATTTGTCGAAGTCCAATGTCGGTAAAAATCCCCCCATATCGTGAGTCCATTATCGATAGCAGGCTGCTGCTGCTCGGAGCCTTTCCAGCGCATACTAGCGACTAGATGCCGGTAACGTAAGAATCTAACCGTACGTGCGTCTGCAGGTCTGGCTCCGTCTGTCTCATACATATCGATCGGAATATAGCGAACGGCGGCCAATCAGCCCAGTCTCCAGGGGTAGGGATATCGACGTCGTCATCGAGAGAGCAGAGCGAGAAGGCAGCACGAGAGGCGATGATCGTGCGGACGGCGGACGAGCGACCAACGAACGAAAACCGTATGTACTCGTACTAGGTATGAGCGCGGCAATCTCAGCCATCCTCTATTTTTGCCATCCTCTTCTTCCGCTGCAGAAGGTTTCCTTCCGCGGGAAGCGATTGCGCCTTCCCTCGATACCTCATCCTTCCGAGGGTATCAATCAACCCTCCCACCCCCGCGCATCGATCACGCCCATCCCCCCGTGCCGGAGTTTCATCTGTCGTGATTCCGGAAACCCCCATCTGATCACCATGCGCATGCTGATAGGTACCGTAGGTATTTGCTTATTCCAGGAGCACGCACCCTGCACCTGTATCATCATCACCACGTCTCGCTCGAGAGTCGAGAGCTGAAGCCGCAACGAAAAGCATGGAAAATAGCTCCTGTTTGGGCCTAGGGCTAGGCAGCTTGCCCGGGTTCCTCGACGTCAACATCGATTCCGCGTCCGGCAGCCTTACTGGTTTCAGAGTTTCAGTCGGCCTGAACTATACGTAGCAGCCGATGCTTGTGCTACATACTTCCACACGCCGTTGATTCTGGAAGCTGGTATGTACCTGATGTATAAAGTACATCAGATCACGACTCTCTGCCAAGTAGCTAAATAGATAGTAGAGTAGGTACCCAAGTACCTACATCGCACTGCGAATCCGATGAGTTCGTAAAGTACCTCGCTGCTAAGAATCCACCGAAGGTCCGAAATCACCCCGTCGAATCTCGATACATAGTACTGGTATCCCCACTTTTGCACAATATTCCGATAAGAAACAGACGACGACTCAAGAGCAAAGAGCAGGTCATCCACGATCCCACCCGTAGGTGTCCGCGCACTGAAGACGAAACAGGCAAAAATTTCCCGGCCAATCAGATCAGATCTCGCTTCGCTTGTGGCCGGTTCGTCGATCCCTTCCACTTTCCGCTTGTGGTGCGGAAATCCTGTGGGACTTGGCCGTGTGATCCCGACCTGCCGATATCGAGAAACTATCTGCGTAAGGTGAACGATTACATACTTCGAACACGGTACGGCTGAAGCCTGAAGGATGATGGCGGCGGCGGCGGAAGATAAGACGCTGATCGTCGTGGATGGGAAGCACGCTACAGTGCCTGAGCACCTAACTAGTTCGAGTTAATTAGAGCGTGTTAAGCTTCACCCAAGCTCGAGATACCTGGTACATACCGGTAGGTACAATACCTCTGTAAACTGTAGGCGTCGAATTCCTTCCCCACATTCTTGGCAGTAGGTATCGAGACTCGAGTGCATGCCAATTAGTTATTGCGATAGAAAGATCAGCGGACTCCGGAGTTCCGGAGAGAAGAGAGGTGTGCCACGGCTTCGATGGGCCTGTACATAGCCGGCCGCCGGCCGCTGATCCACCAGTCGATCTTGTGGAACCAGCAGGTCGATCTCGCGCCGGTGATGAAGGAAAACGCGGAGTCGTCCTTCTGTATCGGAGTCCAAGGCTGGTGGCATAACGGAGTGCAAATCGAGCCGAAGGATCTCACACCGGGGTCCGGTCTCGTAGACTCGCAGTAGAACTCCGATCCGAACGATCTCTGCACACATCCCTTATCTCCGACGTCGGTTCAGGGCTGGACAGGGGTTTTTGGAGTGAAAGCGAGTGACGTCGGAGGCGACGCCAAGTAGGTATCCTATCCCACCGAAGCCACTGAAAGAACCTGCGTGATCGATGGTGGACGGAGTGAGTAGTTATGGCATTCCCCGTGGCTGCCATGCCTTGTGTATGCGTCTCTAGGAGACGAAGGATCCATCCACAAGATATCCCACCAGCAGGAGAGCCAGAACTTGAAGTTGCGAAATCGAAATCGAAATCTCTGCGGATGACGCCGAGAGCTGCCCCTCAGGATAACTGGCAGCATAGGTAGGTAAGCCGTGAGTATGCCACGAATCGAAGAATCCTGCCAGCTCGAAGCTACCTATCGAGAAGAAAAGTAAGGAGGAAACCTTAAACTCTCTTGGCAATCAGCTATGGGATTCTGTCTCGTGGGATTTATAGGAATCGAGAGGATTTCGTTAGGACTTACCTACTAGCAACGGTCTTCGTAATTCTCGAGCGCTCAAGTCTGGCCGGCTGGCGGAGTGCTGAGTCCAAAATTTAGTCTGTAGGTATCACGTTCCGCCGAAGCCACAGAACCTGCGTGATCGATGGTGGACACTGGGCTGGCATGCCTGGTATATATGTCATAGAAAACGAGGGTCCGCTCGCAAGATATCCCACCAGCAGGACAGCCAGAAGGTGCGGTTTCAAGTTCGAGATCTCCGGGGATGACGCCGAAAGCTGCCACTCGGGATTGGCGACAGAATCAGTAGGTACCTGGTAGGTAGGTACGCGGCGAATTGAAGAATCCGGCCAGCTCGAAACTACCTATCGAGAAGAAAGTTAAGGAGGAAACTCTAAACTCTCTTAGCAATCAGCTCTTGGGATTCTGTCTCTTGGGATTTCTGGGGATCGAACGGATGTCGCTAGGACGTACCTACTAGCTAATGGCCATTTGGCAGGCCGCAGCCACCGGTCTTCAGAATTTCCGAGTGCACAAATCTAGCCGGCTGGAGCCTAGCCGTGAGCTGAGCCAAGTGAAGTGTCTAAGGGTACCGTAGACGGTGAGATACCTAGAGCATCCATAGTTAGTTTGTGCTCATGAACCAGCCCGTGAATCGGAATTTTGAACTTTTGAGGAGGTCGTGAGCAAACACGGGACGGAATCCGAAACTCACACTACTCCAGCCTTCCAGACCATGTACACCTGGCAGCCCGCATGTGTCATGCTCCTTGCCGGGACCTCTGGACCCTTGGGCTAACAAGCGATCGTGTATTGCGGGTGGATGAAGGACGATATGGATGCGGTTGCTGGGGGGTGCGGGGCCGTTCTCCGGGGGAGTATGTAGGTTGATTATGGGGTTCGCTCGCCACAAATTAGTCTCGCGAGACTGGAGACGAGTGACGTCGGAGGTGACGCCAAGTACTGTCCCAATATAGCCACAGAACCTGCGTGATCGAGGACGAAGCGTGTTTGGCGTTCTCGTGGCTGTCATGCCGTGTGTATGCGTCTCCACTGCCCAGCAGTCCAGGTGGAGGATCAGCCCGCAAGATTTCCCAGCAGCAGGAGAGCCAGAACTTGAATGTGCGAATTCGAAATCTCCGCGGATGACTTCGTGAGTACCACCTCGGGATGGGTAACATCACAGGTAGCCCGTACGGACGGCACGAATCCAGGAATCCAGCCAGCTCGGAACTAGAGTATGGGAAAAGGTAAGGAGGAGGCTCTAAACTCTCTTGGCAATCAGCTATTGGGATTCTGTCTCTTGGGATGGGGATCGGCCGGAGATCGCTAGGACGTACCTACAGTACTAGCCATTCGGCAGGTAACGGTTTTCGTAATTCCCGAGCGTTTGAGTCTAACTGGCTGGCTGAGAGCTGAGCCCAAGTGTCTAGAGTACCGTAGATGGCGAGCGAGCTGGCTTATCCACAGTGAGTCGGTGTTCAAGGACGAGCACGCCGTGAATCGGAATCTTGAACTTTGGAGGAGGCCGCGAGAGAAACACTGGAGGGAATCCGAAACTCACACTGCTCCAGCCCCCCAGCCCATGTACCGTACACCTGGAAGCATGCATGTCTCGTGCTTCTCGCCGGGACGTCTGGCGGCCTGGACCCCGAGGGCTAATAAGTGACCGCGTAGACTGTAGTGCGGATGGGTTGGATGAGGGACGATAGGTATGTCTCCGGTTCCAGAGGCGTGTGGGGCCGTTCGTGAGGAGTGTGGGGCCGCTCTCAGGGAGGGGAAGTATGTACTAAGTTTGTGGGGATAGCTCGCCACAAATGTCTCCGTGGGCCGGAACCACTAATCAGTCGGTACGGGTTGCCGGTCAGTGTGTAATAGACTTTGGGCGATCGAAGGTTACCGGTGACACCTCTCAGATCGAGGTGGTAGGTGCTAGGTAGGCTTGGTCTCGCTCCCCCTCTTCGCCACTATCTCTCCTGACTGTACGCAGTGGTCTGTTAGCGTCTTCGACTCTTGGAGGCATTACCTATCGGTATCGTGGCTACCCTACACAACACACACATACACATCAGACCATTGATCCAGCTAGGGACTCGCGAAGAGGAGGAGCGTTTACGGTTTACACACGAGGACCTCCCGTCCAATCGATTCGGTATAACATCCTCACCGTCTCTCTAATTCATCCTCCCCGTCCCTCTAAACCATCCTCGCCGTCCCTCTAATTCATCCTCACCGTCCCTTTGATTCATCCTTACCGTGCCTCTGATTTTCAATCCCGATCCTTCCACCATTCCCGTGAACACTTCTACTTCCTGAGTCCCTATATAAAGCATCTCAGCATGCCGCGATCCATTCCAATATTCGAATTTGCCCATCTTTCGCCCAAGGTGCAGCTCTCATTGGCCTCGCACATGACGTCGAAGGCCCTCCTGGACTACGCCCTCGAGTGTCTCCCGTTCAGGAACTTCCTAGTCGCCAACATCGGGACCGTCGTTCTCGCCTGTCTCCTCACGCAATACGGCTACATCCTCGAGCTCCGTTCACTCACCGAGATCCCGCCCATCCAACTGAACCTCCACAACGCCGAGAAATCCGCACTGCTGGAATCGATCCCACTGCTGATGTTTCTGATGCACGAGGAGAACCTGTGGGAGCTCCCGGAGCACCGGGGCATCCTCATGCTGCTCTCCACCTCTCCATGCGACCCCTGGACCCCCGTTCCCCCACTCTCCCTCGAGAACACCTACGGCACCGGCATCCGCGGCCTGCTACGCTACCTATTCCGGTACAAGATGCTGTGCCGCGCGATGACGTCCACACAGCGGCGGCGGCGAATGCAGCAGTTCCTGGAGCGGCACTACACGGCGTGGGCGGTGCGGGACATTGCGGACGTGTACGAGGCCCTGCGTGGCGTGATTGCTCGGCGGCTGGGGTGGATCCAGGGCCCGGAGCTCGAGGACGTCGCTGCGTACCTCATCGCGGACCTCCGCGTGCTGCAGATGCCGCAGACGGGCGCTCATCAATGGCTGGCTCAGTTGGAACGCGAGAAGGGCGGGAGGACGGAGCATAGCGGGTTCTTTTGGGGGCCGGTGGTGGGTGCTCTCAAGAGTGCGGACGACCTGGCGGCTGGAGAGTACGAAGGGTGGGAGACGGGGTTCGCGACGGCGGTCACGGAGCCGGTGGTTGAAGCCTCCATCGGCGAGGATGATGTCGACACCGACGATGGAGTCCGCGTGGTGTGTTGTGTTCCCTGGTTGGGACGGGCGGTGAACCGCAAGGCTGCACCTGTAACTCTTAGGAGACAGCAGAAGGTTTTTTGAATGGGGATTAATGGAAGGATAGAGCCGGCAAAGTTTAATGGATGAAGATTACCGGAGGGATAAGGCCGGCGTGAATCGGGACTTTGGAAGTGTATTTTACTCATTGGCCGGTTTTTAATTGCGTTGCTATGGTTATCTTTGTGGGTTAATTGGTTGTTACGGTAGGTGCTACTGTCTATAAGGCACGTCTGGTGCAATGGGAATTATAAATATTGTCATTTTTTACTCTTGCCAGGCGTAAATTTTGATGGTGAGGACGAACTTTGTGTTATGGTATTGTTCGGACTATGGTAGATCTCCTCCGAGTACATGTCACGATCCCACATGCCCACATTCCCACCGCCTCTTCTCGGCTCACTACAGTACACTTCGAATGAGCTGTACCGTATGCTGTTTCCCATCCAGCCGTACGCTCGGAGGCCTACAGGATGGCTAGGAAGCATGGCTACGGTCGTCTCTTCGAAAACCTGAGCATACCGCGAAGTGCCTTAAACAAGACCCTAATTCAGCGTAACACGCGGTAACTAGTAGCCATCAAAACCCGGCATCGAAACTCGCCGTAAGCCCGTAGGTACCGCGGGAGTACTAAGTACCTACTAGGTAGCCGGACGAGAACTCCAAGCAACCAGGTCTATAGTATACCGGTACCAAAACACCATCAAGCCCGAGTCCGAGTCCTTTCATCCGAGTCCTTCTACCCTTACGGCTCCGCCGTTCCGCGCATAGCCGCCAATGCTTGCCGTCCCGTTGTGCGGCCAAACGTTGCGTCATTGCAGCATGCTCGATGGACACGACGGTTGGTTCGCATCCGAGTCTCGGAGGTTCCCGTGCGGCGAGTAGATCCGTTCGCCGTTCGGTGGTGGTTCTCGTGACCACTAAACAGCGTAGCTCGTACCGTCTTCCTGCCCCCCAACCTCCCAATATTCTTCATGTAATTTCCCCACCCCAGTGGCCAGTCGATCCAACCATCAACACGCTATTGATTGTCCCACTCGGCCATCCGCCATCGTGATTCGTGGATGTAAATAGCAAAGCCGAGCGAGTACCCAACAATTTCTCTGACCACTATTTCCGTCATCTACTAATCAAATGAAGCTCTTCAAATAGTTGGAATAGACATTACCTATATTTTGCGGAGATGCGTTTCTGGCGAACTGGAATTTGCGAGTGATACGGCATGAGTGGCCATGTCGAGGTACTTTGGTGGCAAGTGGCAAGTGAAAAGTATTCCCGCTCAACGCAGATCAGCTGCAGGTCTTCTGGCTCCGTTGAGGTCCTCAATCTGAATCCCCTAGCTCTACGGGCCGCGGATAATGCTTCTTTCGGCTCGTCCGTGAAGAGTGGTGACTTTGCCATGGAAATATTCTTCGCAACGACGGTCGACGGTATCAGAACTGAATTTTCGATGTATCTTTTGAAACGCTCGCTGATTGGTTTCGGAAACGTCCGACGTCCTTTGGTAAATGCCAAAGGGTGATCTGGATGTCTTCGAAGCTTCGACAGTTGATTCCGCGCTTTTATCATCGAGGGCGAAGGTAACGCACTGGAAGAACCTAAAGATGTTAGTGAGAGAAATAGTAGGAGAAAAGAGAGTCTCTCACTGCTTGCTCGATATCCATTGTCCACATCGGCACGACTCGCAAATTGCAATAAAGATCTTGACGGCAGTGCCGCCTACAAGGCTGCAGGGCTGAAATTGGTTGCGGCGCTACATGAGCCGCGAGCGGAGGTATTCGAACAACCTGCTGCAGGTATTGATAATTGAATCGGGGGAGCACGTTCGCCTATGCGTGGTAGCATCCCCGGACGTTTCTGGAATTACCCGTTGTGGACTCGTGCGTGCTCGCAATCTGCTCTCGAATGCTAAGTTCAGTACATATCGCACCACGGAATAGTAGGGAGTTGTCTCGAGTCCTACCACTTGAAGGAAGAGTCAAGACTCCGATGCTTCCCCATATGGGAGACATAAATTCAATGCTTCTTTGGGCTCGTCCATGAATCATTGAAGTGTGGTGACTTTCCACAGACTGTCCACTTGGAAACATTCTTTGCCACGACGGTCGACGGTATCAGAACCAAATTTTCGATTTGTCTTTTGCAACGCTCGCAGCTCGTTGATGGGCCTCGGGGAGGTCCTTTGGCAAATGCCGAAGGGTGATCTGTATTGGAGGCCTTTGAGTCTTCGACAGTTGATTCCGCGCATGTATCGTGGAGCGTGAAGGTATGCAACGCAGAGGTACTTGAACATTTAGTGAGAGCAATGGTGAAACTGTAGGAGGAAAGAGAGTATCTCACTGCTCGCTAAATGTCCACATCGGCACAACTCGCAATAAAGGTTTTGCAACTGGTTGCGGCGCTATAAGTGTGCGTAGGTATTCAAACAACCTGCTGTAGCCTGTAGGCATCAAATCGGGGGAGCATTTCGCCCATGCGTGGTAGTGATAGCATCTCCACAAGTTTCTCGAAATAACCGTCATGGTCCGTGGGTGCGCGCAATCTGCTATTGAACGCTTTAGTACTTATCTCACCACGGCATAGTAGGGAGTGGGCGGTCTTGAGTGACGAGTCCTACCACTTAAGTTGAATCAAGATCCCGATGCTTCCCTATACGGTATGAGAGACATATTCGACAACGGGGCACTCCCAAGCACATCCAGTACTTTTCCGTACTATTGCTCTGTACCGACAGCCAATGGACGTAGACTGTAGTTTTCGAGTTGCAGTCTTCGTGGTGCAGTATTTTTCCTGCGCTGGTCCCCGTAGGTCGAGATTTCTCGTGGAAGCGATCGAGAAGAGATTTATCTCTTTGCCGTTCGAGATTTCGAGAGATATTGCTGGTATGCAAGCATTCCAGAATATATGCTCGGAGGTTGAAAGAGTGTGGATTTGCAATTATCATAAGAAGACGAGTTTGCGAATGATCGGCGCATGGGCCAACCGGCGCTCAGATATGTGGAGTGCGGTGCAGCCTTGCAGGGGTTTATGGTCATGGCTCGTTTCTGGCTGTGCTGTGCTGTGCTGTGCTGGGAGGGTTGGGGTTGGTGTTGATTGGCCGCGCCATTTGCTAACTAACAACCGATTACGAGATCGACAGACTGCGCCTCATTTCTGGTCACGGTGGTGGAACCGCACCACGAAGAAAAATATAGACATGTTCGTCGCGATCGAGAACACAACACAAGGAAGGGACGGCGACGGCGGCAGGGTGCAAGGTCGGTGCCATGGTTCACCGTTCGGGCCGACTGGAAACTGTTGGAACTTGGGAACCACGGCGCACAGCATGGTGGCGCTGCGTCAAAGGAGGTCGGTCTCCAACGATTCGGTCAGTCAAACACGGCTGCTGCGCTAAGCTTCTGTAGGCCCCCCCTCCCCCTATGTAATCTGTGGTGCTGTGTCCAACATAACAAGCCAGAGCCCAGTATCAGTGCTTCGCGGTCCCAGGCTCGCCTGCGCATGCTAGGTTCTCCTGAGGGGATCCCCTCCTGAGATGGATGATGGATCAGAAGACTTTGCCTCAGCCCCGGCTCCTATCCCAAGAGTCGCAGGCGTCGAGCGACAAGCGTTAATGACTGTGATAGCTGGATGGATGGTGTGGTGGCAGCGCTCAAGATTTTAATGTCGACTGTTCACATGGAATCGTCGGCTGCTGGTACCGGAGTAGTATCTACCATACATAGAGTACTTGCTCAGAATGATAGTACTTTACTCCTTCCAGAAGGTCGTGACTCATCTGTTTGTGTGGTTCCCACCAGTTACTGGTATGTGGCCCCGCCCGCCTGGAGGTTTTCAGTTTTCCAGCTGCACAGGTGACCTCACTATCGGACCATAGTATCCGAGTTGTATGATGGTGTATCTCTAGATACTGATGGCGGCAAAATCGTGCGCAGCGCTGCTCTTGTCTCGTCTCGTCTTCTCTCCAAGAGTACCGTAGGCGAAGTAGAGTTACCCCCTACGAGAGGATGTGACGGAGATTAGCTGCATGCGGGCACGGTGCGACAGGGAATGGCAAAACGAGCCAGAATGGGGATAGTAAGCGAGCGCCGGCTCGTACCCGCAAGCGAGGCGTTTCCAATGCCAAACGCTAGTTGGGACCGGGCTCCAACGATGGTGAGCAGCAGCAGCACTCCGTGAATAATCCGGCATGCGGTATGCCATTTTGGCGTAGAGCACGGCTGGAAGAGAGTCGAGACAAGCTTCTCACCGTCCGATAAAAGTGGGCCGACCAGCATTGCGGCTGAAGAATTGGTGGAGTGCCATAGTTAGTAGCGTCCGATGATGGGCAGGGTGCTAACTAGCGGGGTTGGTTGGTTGATTGGCTGGTTGATTGGTCCTGTGAGACCATCGTCCACACCACGGGGTGTCCTGCTGTGCATGTTCGATCCTGGAGCCTGCAGCAACCTGCGGTGCAACATGATTTATTCTCTGTCACCTAGTTCGAACGCACAAATACAAAAGGGACGGCACGTCAGAGGCAGTCCCGGATTCTTCCTCGTGCGATTGTCATTTCCAGCCATTCGAGATTATATGCCACGGTGAAAGAAAGACACCGAACGGACGAACGGACGAACGGACGAACGAACGCCGAACATCAATTATCGCACTCACGTCTGCTCAACCCTTCACGGCCGATCTAGAATCGACAAGCCTCCTCAACCCATCACAACCGCTCGAGAATCGACAAGACAAGCCTCCGCAAATATGGTGCAAGACGACCGATGGCCGATGCTGCCTTTCCTCGTACGACTCACCTCCAACTTCCCTCCAACCCCGTGGGGTCTTTGGTGAATCCTTTGGTTAACATGCTTCGTGAAAGATTGTGCGAGCAACTCAGACGTTATTTGGCGTCATACTGCTGGGCATGACGGCGTATATTTGCTCACTGGGCCAAGTATGGTATGTTGGACTCTTCCTTACCCGTGCGACGACGACGGAGACGCGTTGCTGATTCTGTACCATAGGTGGGCAGGCATGGGGTTGTTCATAGCGCTGATCATTCTTATCTGGATGGCTGTGAATTTCATCCTGTTCTTCATGGGGATGCTACTACCGCTGGCCGTGGTCATCGTCGACGCGTTCTGCACCCTTTTTCTCCTCATCTCCATGGCCGGCACCGCCGATAGCGGCTGGTTGGCTCTCGACTGCTCGTACTTCTACTCGGGATCGCTGTGTCCGACCATCAAGGGTGCCTTCGCGATGGAATTGCTGGCGATGTAAGTGCATCCCGCCGCCACCTCCCGTTCGTGAGCGTCGACTCATCTCGCCTCCACAGGTTCCTCTTCATCGCCTCCCTCGTCTTCGCCTCCATCACGCTCTACAAGCACCGGGCGGACCTTCTCGGGCGTATCCACGCGAACGGCGGCGTCGCACCCGTCACGACCTCCGCCGAGCTACCCGCGCAATCCTCGCAGACGCAGAAGCCACAGGAACAGTACTACCAGCAGCCACTGCAGCAGATGCAGAACCCGCAGCAGCCCATGCAGCCCACCGCGTACCCGACACCCGTCTACAACACCCAGCAGCAGCAGCAGCACATGCCCCAGCAGCCGTACACACAGGGCCCCGCCTACGACGGCTTCGTTAGCCCCCCCACCAGCCCCCCGCCCGCGGAAATGCAGCACACCGGAGGGTACTCGACTGTCAGCAGTAATACTCCTCACCCGCCGGCTGCGGGATGGCCCACCGCCGCCGCAGAGATGCCCGCCTCGTCGCATCCGCGTCAAGCTGAGCTGCCGAATTAAGCACCGCCTACATCATAGGAGATGAGGGAGTTGGGGATGTATCATGTATGTACTTATGTGTGTGTGCGTGTGTGTCGGCGGGCGCAGTTTTGCGGGTTTGCTTTTCTTCCATGGTTGCCAAATACTTACCCAACACAAAATTTAATAATGTACTGTACTGTACTTTAACGATCGCTTATCATGACTGGAAATTTTTATCGCTCCGTTCGACTTATAGGTAATGGGGATCGGTACGGCGGCTCGGCCCGGTAGTGAAGCTCTGTACTATGTACACGACGGACGTGCATTTGTTTGTCGGGGAGTCGGACGGCACACCCGGCTCTCTGAGGTATGCAGCGGGCTCGTATTCAGTGACGAGGTCTAGCTCGCGCAGATCACGAAACTGCATATCTACTCTTTTTTTTGGTCCTTCATGGGTTCCAAACTGGCCTGCGACCTACGGTAGAGTGGTGTAGAAACTTGTACTGTGCCTCATTGTGCACAGCTGAGAGGCGAAGCCTGCCGCCTACCTATAGGTACTTGCGTATGTGGGTAGTACGTACTCTATCGAGCGCTGTATTCACACGCCTTCCTCCTTGAGGCGCCCCCATCCGCGAATTGGAGCAGACCGAGACGCCTCAGGAGGTTGTTGGTGCTCCACAGGAAGGCCGTCAAATCAAGACCGCCTGCCGGCATACCGGTGGAGAAGAAAAAAAGCAGCAGAAGACTATTCGTGAGTGGGACTGCGCCTGATGGAGTAGCTGGCAGGGGCTGAACTGGCGTTGTCAACACATCCGAGTACCCGCCACTAGCCGCGTCATGCGCGGATTGTGCTCACTTGCATACACGCCGCTATCACGTGTGTGTCTGTAATGGTGTGTCTGTAATGATGTGTCTGTATGTGTGTGTGTGGGTGAAGCCACGGCTGCTGTGCTGTTGGCTGTTATGTTGGAGCCTGGGAGGCAAAGGGGCGTATTTGAGATGACGGTAGCCTGGTAGGGGCAATATGGAGGGGTGTTTTTTTTCTTCAGAGTTCAGGCGAGCTCCTGTCACTGACCTGTTACTCCCCTTCCATTGAAAGGCTGCCGCCGTTAGCCACATAGGTATCCTCAGTCCTTCTGTTGTTGTAAAATGGTGGGTATCCGGGACGACAGGACGGCACAAAATCTGCGAACAACTCACAGGAGGACTTTCGATAGCACCGGAAGAACCGAGCTAGCGAATAAGTGTCAGGTATCACCCGTTCTCGCAGGTAAACGTTTGACCCTTTTGGATAACTGCAGGGCTAATCAGGACTCTCCTACTCCTAGAATCTCACGAAGACGGTCAACACCCCAACCACAGCTATAATCCGCCCGTCCATGCTACAGCCCCACAACCCAGACATAGCGACCACACTCCGCTACTCTCCGTCCGAAGAATTTCTTGATCTCTAGAGCATCACATCGACGCAATGGTTTGCTCCCGCGCCTCCGGATACTCCTGTCATTATGATAATCTAACGTCCATCCAGACCGCACCAACCAACCAAGCGGCCCTAGCCGACTTATCTCTCCCGAACGCCGCCGCGCCGAAGCCCACCTACAAGATTCTCCAGCGAACTGGTTTGTCACGAGGCCTACAGGAGATGAAGGGACAGACACCCACGGGCCGCGGCACCATTTCACCAGCGATGCAGAGATTCCTGGGGGAGGGACACCGTCAGCAGTCTTGCTTACTCGCGCTTGGAGACGGAGTCGGAATGCTGAATATCTCGCCGCCGCCGCAGGGGAGGCGTAGCTTCGAGTTTGTGGGGGCGGGTACTAAGCAGGCCAAGGTGGCGGATACTACGTAGATGAGAGCGAGGGCTGTCTGCTATATCCGTTGGATTTGGTCTGGGGTATTGTACTTGTGTGGGCTTGAAAGTTGAGGTGTTGTTTTGTCTGTCGAAACTGTTTACAACGACAAATGGTTTTTCTTCATGCCCGTGATGAGTGAAGCAAAGTACGGTCGGATGTGGCAGGCATCGTGAAAGAGTACAACCACTTAGCAGCAGTTGCAAGCGAGTGCTGTGCGGAACTTTACCCAGATACCGAAGCCCAACTAGAGGAACACTCATGCGTCACTGCGTCAGTCAGATGGTGAAGTGAGCAATCGGAATACCAACCAAGCTGGTTCGACACAATAGTGCTGGGAGAAGCTGAATCGGCAAGTGGAGCAACTTGCTACTGCCCTGAACCAGCTGAATTCTTCAGCTTTCGCCCTGTACCAATCCATAGTCGCTCGACGAGGGCGGAAGAAAGACTCCAACGGCGTCGGGATAACTTTCTCGTCAGCGACTCACAGCCCGTGTTGCAGTGCCGGCTTTGACTCGTCACTCGTGCGGCCTGTCGCTCATTTTTTTTGTTTCATCATTCATTGCGTGCGACCTTATCTAGATCATGGCAATATACAAGCGCCGCTTCCTTATCCATCGTCCAACTCGACCGCGAACAGTCCGCTGCTGCCCGTGATGGCTCCCTCTCTTGCCCCCGCCCTCCGCCTAGACACCCGGAATACAAAACAAAAACGAAACCACTTCCACCTTCCTCTCCCACTATTCTGTCTTGTCCGAAGAGGCCAAGAATGACGGTGCGAAGTGGAACAGAAGCTCATGTCCCCTCTCCCCCACCATATCCCCTTCAATTTTCAGGCTGGCGGCGTCCAGCGCTCTCATTCGCCCTGTCGCTCCGGCGTCTTACTATTTCCAGTCACTGTTCTGTAGATTTCTTTTCCGTCTTCAAGATCCCCGACAATCCTCTGTTCAAATCGGGAGTACCGGTTTACGTTACCTCTCGGGATTCTCCCTGTATGTCAAAATGCTGCTGTTTGGCCATTCCTGGGTCTTCGTTTCCTGTCGACACGCGAGCGGCCGAGCCGGCCATTTTGACGATTCAGAGTAGTCCCGATAGTTTCTTTCTTGCTGATCAAGTGCCGCTCTGGGTGCGGATTCAACACCTTGAAGTGGCAACTGAGTGGCGTGGGGAGAAGCAGGAGAATATCAAACGTCGAGTACGCGACCAGCGTCGTGGAGACGGCAGAGCCTCAGAGGGAATGGAAAGGCACCGAGGGATGAAGCTGCGTGCTCGTGGTGGCTTTGGGTCGGAGTATGTAGGATAGATGACTGAGGATGATCAAATGACTGTACCTAGTATGTAGTCGGATTTGAGAAGATAAGGGGAGATATGCGGAGAAAGAGGCGAAAGGAAAAGCGTGCTGTGTCGTAAGGACGGCCTGATATTTACATGGAAGGCCAGGCTCATTGAAAAACGGGCCGAGACGTTGGGCTCAATTGAGGGATAACCAATGTCTCCCAGAGCACATGACCCACTCTTTCCCATGCGTTGTGTACCCACCCATCTATGAGCTTTATCGCCTCAACAATACCGAAACCACCTACGAACTCTCGACCGATCGCTCCGGGTTCATCAGCCTGCCAATTCCTGCCGTTCACGGCCCACTCTTTCCCATTCGTTGTGTACCCACCCATCGAGAGGCTTCATTGCTCCAAAAATAGCGAGATCACCTACGCACTCTCGAGTCTCTACCTATTGTTCCGGGCTCATCAGACCGCCAGTTCCTGCTGTCCACGTACATGTCTGGTAGGCAGCTGTGCAGGATCAAGCCGTGACGATGAAGCTTTCTCTCTACCTGCTGCGGAGCTAGTAGGAAAGGTCGGGACACGGGTTGTGGTCGCCATCGTCCAGTAAGGCCGTATGCGACAATAAATGATCTTCTCTCTCTCGATCTTCACAGGTAGTTACGAACCAATCATCCTTCTTCGTGAGTCCACACTACATCACACCAACTCTGTTATCCTGCCTCACACCAGACATTGACAGTACATAATCCGCGCGCAGGATGATTTATTCACTCATCCTCCTCCATTGGTATGGGAACTTTGGGCAAGCCTTTCCCTCCCACAGAAACACCTCTCGGCTTCGCTCCCTCGTCCGAGCATACACCCCATTCGCTCATATCGCTCGCGTGCGCACTCTCATGACTACAACTGTGTCCTGTTGAAGTGGGGAGGGAAGAATATTTGGCTGCGAGGGTTGCAATGATCCTGGGGCAGATATGGCTCGCCTTCGAGGTATGCGAGTCATCACTTCTCACATCTATTCTGCATCGGTTTTGCTAATCGATCGGTTAGTTCCTGATGATTCAAAAGCCCTGACGAAGCTACGGTACTGCACTGCAACCACCCGGTCGAAGCTGCGGTCGGTACGAATAATCCGCAATGCGCCCACACGCCTATACGTCCGCAATACCGCCGGTTATGCTCTGGGAGGAAACATTTGTGGGTTGCACCATCCGCTCTGGGTCATCATTCGCCCACCGATCCGATCTCTTATATCTTGGCTTTTTCTTCATCCCGCAGACCTGGAACCAATTGCGACGAAAGGGCTCATCCCTCACTGCCTCGGGCCATGGGCTATATAGCAATCCCGTTGTTCTCAACAAAAGCAAAGACACCAAAATCCCGGCCGCCACTGGGGGCATAAAGCCATTTACCCCATGTATGCATTGCGTTCTTGTACGTCGCTCAAGAAGGAAGCAAACGTCCCAGAGTGTGGAACGACAAACATGTACACACCGGATGCGGCCGAGCGCGATAGATCCTCCGCGACGAGCAGGATCAGCGGCGGTGTGTGCTGCAGGCGGTGATTCGTGGTGGGAATGCGTGAAACACCCTTGCATGTGTGAGGAATTTCTACGTCTACTGGACGGTTTGAAGGGCAGTTCGGCAACTACCCGCTGCGAGATGAACCGGCGACCTCACCGCATATTGCAGGCTGCCATCGCAGACGACTGCAGGTACCTACATACATACGGGATTTTGAAGGGAATGCGGTGTGATGATGGGTTTTCAGTGGTCGATGGTTCTCTCCATGTGGCGGCAAGGGTATCCACTCTCGAGACGCGATAAGTAGGTGGGGTTTAACATATGGATACGCGTTTGGCGCGTTTGCTTGAGTTTGACACATATGCAGCGTTGGAGACAGCTCCACGTTGCATGACGACAGGAGGTTTCTACCAGTACCGATGCGGTACCGAATGTCGGTATGTCAAACCACCCTGTAGTTTCCTGACGTTTTGTGATCGATTAGACGCGGTGGCTAAAATAGCTCGGGAATTTAGCGGAAACTACGGCACATGGGGGCCAAAGCTCGCCGAGCAGGAGTCTGGGATATTTGCAAAGATCGCCGCTCAAGGACTCTCTCGCATGACGACGAACTCTCGGCAATTCCAGACTTTTGGAACGTTCTACAAGATCTGATCGAGAAGCAGTACCGCAACATACGTATGATCTT